TGCAAGATTGGGGCTCTTGTTCACTCTATGCTTATATCTATATAAGTATGTTTTTCAGCAGTTTGGTTAGCATAGCACATGCTCTGCCTAGTTTGGAATCAGACGGACTGTTCATAGGAAAAAGAAAAATTGCTGTTTTTGGAAGCGCTTTGTCTACACAACTGTGACATTTTATTTTGTTTTTTTTTTATTTTGACCTTAAGACAACCTCCGTTTCCCTTTACGGGGATTTCCCTAATTGTGTTTTAGATTACGAAATAATTGTCATGTTTTCCAAGATCAATTTTCTGACTAATACGGTATCAGTGGCAACAATAATTTTGTACGTAATTTACTACCGTCTAGATTTGGCATAAAAAGCAAGGTTGTTTGCATCAAAATCTATAACAAATTGCCTAATATGTTCATAGTGTTTTTATAATCTCAATGAATACATGCCATTTAAACATACGATGTCATCCTCCGAGCCTTTTTCACAAACTAGGTTGGAATCGGCCTTAAGTCTTTTATGATACGGCTGCATTCAAACCTCTACAACCCAAATACTAGGCGATATCAAATTTCTGTAGGAAAACTTTTGTCGGACGTTTTTGGGTTCCAACTACCCGCACGATTGCCACAGATTACGTATGACAACTGGGACCGACATTTTAACGTACTCTCCGAGGCACGGATTTAAACATATAATATAATTAATTTAATGCATAATAATACTCAAAGCTGTCATGATTTTATTAATGTGTACGTTTCAAAAGTTCTAAAAGTACTGCACAGTGCACCGATTGAGCTCAAATTTTGACACGATATAGCCACAACACGCCACAAAGGTGGTTTTTATTACTTTTTATCTACTTTTAACAACCATAATGTGCCACAGCAAAGCGTAGCAGCGTACAGATACTTAATTATAAGTTCATCAATTTGTAGGAGCTTTTCTAATGATAAAGTATGGAGTGTAAGTACTGAGCCCACATTGTAATTGTAAACATCTGTTGTATGTAGTACATTCTGGCAAATGAACGAATTTGAATTTTAATCATTCAAATTTACATACGTAAGCATACATTAATCTGTGACCCCCGATATACATATTATGTACGTAAATAACCCTTAAGGCGGTTATTGTGTGTGTGTGTGTGTGTGTTTGTGACGTATTGTCATTTGCAAGTAACTTCCTTAAAAATTGAGTTACCAAAATAGAAGAAAGAATTTATACACATGTACTTATAAATTCGTCTATCTACAGTCTTAATTGTCCATCCAAAGGTTGCCTGTAAGAAATTGCTTTTAAGCGGTGAGGCCGCCATTTTTACAATGTCATTAATTTGATTTAAAAATATTTTAGGACATCTGGCACACAACGCCATCTAGTTTAAAACTAAGCAGAGCTTGTACTTTGAAAGCTAGATTGACGGATAGAATACGTAAATACTTTTTTTTTGTAAATACATACATATTATATATAGAAAACACAAATATTTGCAGATCATATAAACATTTGACTCGGGAATCGAACCCAAAACCTTAGCACAGCTGTCGCATACGCTACCACTGCAAGACCGCAGTAAAGTAATCTTTATTGTTTTGATTGAGTATTGGCGAAGCAGTTTCATGTATGCCGTAATAAACTGGTGTACAATAAATTTTATTCTATTCTACACTCACGCCTATCTTTTTTGATGGGTAGACAACAGAGACGTATTGTACGCCCACATTTTGCTGACTATGGAATCAGTTCCACTTACGTAACAGGAGACAAGTCTAGTGTCGACAGGCACATAATATTTCTTAATAAATCTATACTAATATTATAAAGCTGAAGAGTTTGTTTGTTTGTTTGTTTGTTTGAACGCGCTAATCTCAGGAACTACGGGCCCGATTTAAAAAATTCTTTAAGTGTTAGATAGCCCATTTATCGAGGAAGGTTATAGGCTATATATCATCACGCTAAGACCAAGAGGAGCGGATCACCAATGAATAATGTTTCAAAAACGGAGAAAATTTATTACTATTGAGAGACGCAGACGAAGTTGCGCGGGTCAGCTAGTCTTATATATAAAATCCTCGTGTCACAATGTTAGTTACCATACTCCTCCGAAACGGCTGGACTGATTTTTATGAAATTTTGTGTGCACATCGGGTAGGTCTGAGAATCGGCCAACATCTATTTTTATACCCCTAAAATACAAGGGTGACCCACCCCTAATTTTTTTTTTCAATATTTCCTAGAAATAATGTATATGGCAAAACAACGTTTGCCGCGTCAGCTAGTATATTTATATATTTCTAAATACACACATATTATAGATAAATTACACCCAAACTCACAACAAATGAACGTGATCATCGCACAATGTTTTTCCTGGGTGGGAATCGAACCCACGACCTGCGTTTTTGCTTTGAAGGATCCGGATGTTCTAATATTCCCGGCTCTCTTCTATTTGAGGTTATAATTTAGGTGGGGTAACTTGAACCGTCACCCCACCTGTGACCCACCCCCGTCGCGTAGGTTCGACACCGCCGTCTCAATAATAGCCGTTCCGAGATCCTCGTGTTACATGCACAGATTGGCATACCGTGTAGTTTAGTCGGTTCGATTCCGACACACCCGCCGCAAACCCGGGTGGAGTGACGACCTGAGTGGCTTTCCAATTGTAAACCCGCAAACGAAGCAAATCCGAGGTCTTAACAATATGATATCCTCTCTTAAATGTCTGTTTACGTTCTGTGGCCGGGATCATTGACTAATCGGGATCTAACATATGTACGTACATTTCATTCATATTATTTAAATAACTCTATAATAGTAAGGATCACCGACTTAGTATATTTATTTTATTTAATTGATAAATAAATATATAAAGGTACATAAATATTTAAATCATCATATTTTTAATATAAAGAGGGTTCATATACCCTTTTAAGATAAAAAAATATGATGATTTCCGGTGTTGGTAGAGTGTGACGTCACCAGGGACTTCCTTTCTAGGGTATACCTGGTTCCCCGGCTATTAGTACCAGAGACGGCGTGCGGTTTTAGTCGGTTCGAGTCCGACATGCCACCGACAGGTGGTATCCGAGGGGATTTCCGCACGGAAAAAAAAAAAAAAAAAGAGTGTGACGTAGGTTTATATAGTGACCTCTAGATACTAAAACATGACTATTTGGAAGCGGAACTATACCATTACCGCGTTGAATTACTTGAATTCTTTACATAACATTATGGTAGCAAACGAGTATACAGCCCACGTGGTAATAATTAGTCATGTTAGCATTTAAATGTTTTTAACAGTAAGTATGTGACGGATTAAAAATACGAAATGTCACCACCCCTGTTTATCTCGCGGGTGTCGTAAGAGAGGACTAAGAGAGCAAACTACGCAAGACTCGGCAGGACAACAGCACTGCAAACAGAAGGAAAACTTGACACAAACCCTATTCCAACCCGTCTGGTCAGCGTATTATAGTAGGCCAAAACTTCCTTTCTAAGGAGAGGCCTATGTCCATCAGTGGACTAGTAAAGGCTGTTGATATATCATGAATCTGTTTGAGGAGTGGCCTGTTGGTTTAGTGGTTAGTGATACTGACTCATAGATCATAGGTTCGATCTCACTCAGGACAAAAATTGTGAGATGAGCACAATAACCTGTTCCGAGTCTTGGTTTAATTTATTTTATCTATAAATAATTGTATGTATTTAGAAATATATATGTATGTTTATTTGGCTTGCTTGCTATAACATAAATGGGGCTAATGATTATAGTGGGCAAAATGTGGGCGTTTAAATACATCTCTGTCTATCCAAAATACAAACAAGGGGTAGATACGCCACCAACGTACAAAACGCGAGGGTCCCAATTAGGACCACTGCGAGCGAGCGCACGTACTAATTAATTCGAGAAAATTCATAAAATGCCTTCCTCTGTATTCCAAAAGTGCACAAATTACGACAAAAGGTAAATCAAGATAAAGGAATATTATACCACAGGTAAGTGTATGTTTTGTTCTAAACTGCATTAATAGATGTATGTACGGTTGAGGAACAAATATTCGGTGCGTGCAGTATGAATATAAAGTATCTGCCCTAAAATATCATTGGTCTACCCCTTGTAGGGGATAAAGTCGTAAATTTTTTACTTCAATTCAGTTTCAGGATAGTCATAGACAATGACTATTTCTATGGACAGTATATACCTGTACTTATGTACGGTCTAGTGACTGCTAAGCCGAAGGTCCTGGGTTCGATTCCCACACAAGACAAATAATTGTGTGATGATCACGGTCATTTGTTCTGTATCTGTGTGTAATTTATCTATAATATGTATGTATTTAGAAATATATAAGTATGTTTATCAGCAGTCTGGTTACCATAGTACAGGCTCTGCAAATTTAGGATTGAAGTTATTACTAATATGGTAGTAGTGAATTCGACTGCATCGTCATTGGTCGCGGGTTCGATTCCTGAACAGTACAATATATTTTTTTACATAAATATGTTTGGTTGGTTAGTTATGCTTGACGTGGGTCTAGGTACAGTTATAATATGTAGTAGACTATTCTTATATTTATTCTACTGCTCTTTCTATCTTTCTCCTCTTCACTCTTTAGCAGAAGAAGGCTTTCCATATAGGGCAGCGTATTTTTTTAAATTAACGGTGTTTAAGATCCTCATGGATGTCCTTTGCGCAGTGGGGTATGGCGAAGGGGTCAGTCGGACTCTTGGGGACTAAATTTTGTGTATAATATTTTACTTTAAAGTTAAGTTATAAAAATAAATATATTAATAATTAAATGAGGGTTGTATCTATTAAATTTGGTTAAATTTCCCGTCAGCCATAACTTATTTATAAACTATTTTTGAATTTAATTTAAGAGCATTTATTATTTTAAATATTATTTTTATTAAAAAAAAATCAAGTCCTAAAATATTCTCGATGTCTAAAATGACGTAATCAGACCTGAAAATAGACTAAAAAAAGAAAGGAAACCGAAATACTTACGTTAATATTTTTTTTGGACTGCCACAAAATTAAACGTATGCCACTTAACAATATTATTGGGAATCAATAATAATAAAAAAAGCACGTCTGTCAAGGTTTGCGTATACACATCAACTGTGAACGTTTATGCTTAACGCTGAATAAGGATTCTTGAATAAAAAGCAGAAAATATCAACCGTTGGGTGTGTTTAATCCTTAAACTTTAAAAACCTTTACAATTGTATTTAATAAGTGTATGTTTGCAATAAATGTTGTCGAATCATTGCGATTTATTATTTTAACTGCCTAGGTGATGCAGTGGTAGCGTATGCGACTGCAGTTCTCGGATTCGATTCCCGGCTCGGACCAAATGTTAGTATCATCTGCAAATATTTTTGTGATTTCTATGTAAAACATGTATGTTTTTACAAAATATAGTATATAAGTATTCTCTCAGTCAATCTAACTTTTATAGTACAATCTCTACTCAGTTAGAAACTAGATGTCGTTGTGTGTCAGATGCCAATATAAAATATGCCCAATACCACAAAAAAAAGCGAAATTTTCCAAAATATTTCTTATTATATTTATTATTTCAGTTAGTAAACTTTTTTAAGGAGGCTATTAGGCACTGTTAACAGCAAATGTAGATTATAACATACACAATTATTATATTCACTTTATTAAATTTAAGTTAAAAATTATCTTCTATGAATCAATTAAATAGAACTTATGATAATCGACTAACCTAACTGTTTGATTTTTAATAAATCGTTGCTTTTTTTTTCTACTGCTCACAAATTATTTTAGTCTAAGGTGCTCTTATTAGATGCGCTTATCGTCCATTACATTTCATATCTTTTTTAGCTTGTCGTAGAAATTCCTAAATAGTTTTTTTTGTACTTATAACCCGTTATTTCTTTACAAAAGGAAGATAAAATTAAAATGTTGATAACCTCCGCGTCCGTGCTACATTTGTACTCATATACTATACGTTCGCGACATATGTGACGTCATAGAGTCTAATTCATTACAATATATCGTTGGTGTTAAAAAGTCGTTTTAAACTACTGTCTAAAAAATTTTATGGTGTAGGGGTGCAACTCAAAAGTCACAAATGCGACATGGATATAATTGCTACTTTTAAATCATATTCATTTGATAGTAATAGCGTCTTATTCTACAAGGAACCTAAACCTCCTTTCTAAGGAGAGGGCTATGTTCAGCAGTGGACTGTTAAAGGCTGTTGATGTGATGTGATGCTACAAGAGAAAAAATATGAAAACTAATTAACTAACTAATAATTAAATCATAATTAAATTCTTTAAAAAAAAAGTTGAACCGACTTCAAACAATACTAATAAACGCAAAAAAAAAAAAAAAAAAATCTAAGTAAAAAAACTATAAGGTACTTCCTTGAAGTACCTTCAATATAACAGGTAACATTATAATAGCAATGGTCCCTTCTAGTCTGTTTGAAGTCGGTGCTAAGCCAAATAGGTGTTTGATGGGCTTGGTAGAATGTAATGCTGAATGTAATGCTGCAGAATGCAATGTAATGCTGCGCAAAACATGCTGAACGAGCTAAAGTGGGTTACGCACAGCTCCAATGACATTATTATTTTGAATGCTTTATTAAGTAGTTGAAAAGTTTGCGCACGTAATGGATCTGGGCCTCAATTCTGCTATTTTAATATTGTATCAATAGACTGTCTATGGAATGTCGTCGGAATAATGCACTTTTTCTATTCTGTTTGATGATTCATTTCTATTATTTTTTAATTTTTACTGCTCTTCGTCAGTATTGTTTGAAGTCGGTCTATTTTTTAAAAGGATTTATTTTATCATTTTAAGTGTAAGATATGTTTGTAATGAGTAGATAATTACGATATAACACTATGTACCGTACCGTATAGTACTAAACTGTAGTATGTCAGATTATACTAAATATAGTTTAATAAGTCCATTACTTTATTTAGATAAGGTGGTAACATGTTAGCGTTTAAAATAAGGGTATTTTAAATAAAGATAAAGAAAATTTGTGAGGACGTATAGTTGTTTGTTATTAAAACCAGAACGCCTAAGCAGATCTGGATAATAATTTAGCACAGAAATAGATTATAGTTTGTAATAGCAAATAGGTTACTTTTATCAAAGGATTTAATTGAAAAAAAGACAATATCGCGTGCAAAGCTACGGATATAACTTAGTGTAGTCATAAAATTAGATTAGTACAGTTCAGAAAACAGGTTCTGCTGTGTTTTTATCGTTTGCCACAACAAAATAACTATTAATAAAAAATGTAACTTTATTATTGCGTAATTATCGATTTGAATGTATGGTTAATTATTGAACAAAGTTGTTTTAGCCATGCCATAGCCATAACATTAGACAACATAACGGAAGTTTTTAAAACGGGTACAGAGGCTATTTCGAGATCATTCTATGAATTTTTCAACATAGCCGTAGCTGTCTCGACTCTCTACTAATAAATTATAGATCTACTTAAATACTTTTTCTTAGCTTAAATATACTGTCGTTATTTTATAGTTTTAAATCTTTCCAATAGCGAATTTTGTCTTCATATTTTTTTCCCGACCTGAAGCTCTATCCCGCCAAAACTCAAAAGTGAGGTGTTCCGTGTTCCGTAACAGTGTACATACATCCAAGTGCGATAGCAAATGGGGAAACTATAAGAGTGAAAGAGACAGCTATTTGTAATCAGTACAGAGGTCAAAAGGCATTTTGTGATTTTTATCAAATTCATTAATACGAGCGCGCGCTTTTTGTGATCCTAATTAGTAAACTAACCCTAAACCCTTACTCCCTAACTCTTGTACATATGTATATAATATCTATCATTGACTGAAACCCAAAAATGGGAGAGCATTGCTGGCGCACATATAAGGCGGCTCGACCTTGGTGATACAAGAGCCTCACAGAAAACCGGTGTTATACTATTCTTTCGTAACTTTTCATCGTTTAAATGAGGTTACCGGAGTCCAAATCCCACGTCTATTAATTTCGAGAGGGGGACTCATGAGGCGACAGCGCAATTGAGACTTAGACATGGAAATTATAGCTACTTTTAAATCATATTCATTTTAAGAAATTATTGGTTTTGGTCACAACGATTTCACATGTGATTTCGTCGTAGACAAAGACAACGCTTTATAGATCATATTATTTTTCACATGTAATTGTTATTTTATTCCATCTCTACTTAGGTTTCTAGGTGACCCGTCTGCTCGCCCTCAATACCATAAGAAAAACAAACGATAATTTTTTGTTTTTCTTGCAATTATTTCCAAGTTCAACGAATTCTTTTGACCGTAGACGTTCTTCAGAAAAAAACAAGTAAATTACGAGTATGGATTAAGGTTTTTGTAGAATATCTGTAAAGAGGTAAGTAGCAAAACAATTGAATTTACAATTATTAATGACCAGCTTTTGATCGCGGCTCCGCTTGCGGTAACAAGTAGCTTATGTCTTTGTACTTTGATTATTTCAAAGTATCTTCATACCAAATTTTTATCTAAATCGGTTCAGCGGTTATTGATTCCCCATACAAAATTCTACCCCCCTTTTCACCCCCTTTAAGGTTGTTCTCTGTGATGAAAACTCGATCTCTGTACCAAATTTCATCTAAATCAGTTTAGCGGTTCAAGCGTGAAGAGGTAACAGACAGACAGACACACTTTCGCATTTATAATATTAAGTATGGATGGAGGATTACAGAAATTAATGATAAACATAGTAGTTGTTACTAACAATATACGCTAATAGTAGTGTTCGTTTTCGATGTCTTTAAGAATTGAAATGAACTAACTTCGCCCTGCCTTACTTTAGTATCTCTATCACTGAAAACTATCTTTAAAACGTATTGTATATTGTGTCAAAATTTGAAGCGTACGTAAACCAACTTAACATTTTTTATTTAAATCATCATCATCTAGAGTGGAGAGGATAATTATACAGCAATTTTAAACGTTCAGTTCAATTTCGAAATACATGCATTTTCTTACATTGGCTATACGGTCCTTGTGATGCCGGATTAAGAATACAGAGTGTGACCACCCCTATTCATCCCGTGGGTGTCGTAAGAGGCGACTAAGGGAGCTAACTACGCAGGTTAACAGCACTGAAGAGAGAAGGAAAGCTTGACACAAACCCTATACCAACCCGTCTGGCCAGCGTGGTATAGTAGGCCAAAACCTCCTTTCTAAGTAGAGGTCTATGTCCAGCAGTGGATTATTAAAGGCTGTTGATATGATATGGATGTGAGATGATGGAGTGGAGAGAATAATCATTCAGCAATTTTAAAACGTTCACTTCAATTTAGAAATACTTGCATTTTCTTACATTGGCTATAAGGTATCTCGGAGATAGCTGACTAGTTTATAAGCCTGTGGGGACACTTGGTCAAAACTTGATCCAACGTGCCGCGTAATTGTCAATGTATAAAAGTAAAAATTGTTTTATAAAAAAAATCAGATGGTTCATCGTAGTCGTCCCTATTATGTCATACTAGTTGACGCGCGCGACTTCGCCTGCGTCTCTTAAAATAAATATTTTGTCTCCGTCGGCTCCTATTTTTTTGATAAGTGGGCTGGCAATTCGAACCAGTAGTTGTTGAGATTAGCGCTTTCAACCAAATAAAAAACTCTCCAGCTTTATAATATTAGTATGGATTTATAATATTAGTCGCTATTGTTGTAACATCACTACGTTAGTAAGTTATGTCACGTCACTAAGGTACGTAGCACTATGTACATACTTGCGTAGTCATTGCTCTGCTGTCTGCGACACTGTAATGTACCTTTTTTTTTTTCCGTGCGGAAATCCCCTCGGATACCACCTGTCGGTGGCATGTCGGACTCGAACCGACTAAAACCGCACGCCTTCGCCGGGTACTAATAGCCGGGGAACCAGGTATACCCTAGAAAGGAAGGCCCTGGTGCACTGTAATGTACCTAGTCAAAGTCTGTCTATGCAATACGTAAATTTTATGATAATATAGTAGTCAAGAAGTGATTTTATTTATAACTACGTCCTAAAGTCATATAAGAATATAACTGTTATATCTTTAAGAACCATATATTTTTTGCTGAGAACTAAAATGATAATTCAATAAAAATGAAAAACAATTCGCACCTACAACTAATAGGTGTCTAGAATCAATGAAAAGTGATGCAAAAACGGGGAAATGTTTTCCTTTGGAGAGACTCAGACGATGTTGCGCGGGTCTGCTAGTCTTAAATAAACCTACTGAACGTCATTTATCACATTCTATCCCATTTAATATGTCTTACATATGTAGAGCTGCTAATATATCGCAGTCCCCGACGAACAAAATCGTAATAGGAAAATAACAATTTTACAGGAGCAAATAAAAACTGAATATCTTGAATACTATCAAGACTAAAAAGAAGATTCTTTTATCAAAAATAAGGAAATATTTTTTTGCACTAGACTTTTACTAAATTTTTTTCATAAATTTTCTTTATCAGTAAGAAAATTGTGAAAATGTCCATTACTGAAATAAGCTATGGAAAAAATTAACGCAAACTAACTTTACGATAGTGTTCGACTGTAATCACAAATCGGTGTTGCTGTAGTAATCGTTCATTATGATATTGTTCCATGGTAAATATGAATATACTTTATATTCGTAAAATGACATTGCAATCGTTTTCGATGATATAACTGACTTTAATATTACGGTAAACATAAATTACATGCTTATTCGATGATCATTTTTAGGTGTTATAACCATTTCGGTACCTATGTATAAATTCTGATTCTGATTCTGTCATTTTTCCCTCGAACAATATGGTAATAGCCGCTTACTCTAAAATGTTGACTTTTGAGATTTGGTAATAGGTTTTTGCGTTATTGATCGTGTAAATTTTTCACTTATGTTATACGTTGAACAAAAACATAAAGATCATTATTGAATGGATAAATCCAAAAGTATTCATCGCCCGATCATAAAAAAAATTCAATGATTGTAATAGGGTGTGTAGATAACGAATATCTAATAAACCCGATTCTATCGTAATAGCGATTACCATAGTGTTCGTCGGGGACTGCGATATAAAGCTGACATAGACCCTCAGCATTACTTATAAATCGGTCTTGGCACCGACTTCAAACAGACTAGAAGGCATCTATTTCTATCATAACGTTACCTGTTATATTGAGGGTCGCACTTATTTTGGTTTAAGATTTGTAATTATTTTTTAATTTTTAGTGCTCTTTGTTAGTATTGTTTGAAATCGGTTCAACTTTTTTTTTAAATAATTAGTGGGTAACACTTAAGTAATTTAATTTAATTAATGTAAAATTTTGAATTAAAGAAAATTAAAGTGCACGTTTAGGGTCAATTAACTGACGGACATACATAATTAAGTATTTGTATGTTAATATATAAAAATTTCAATAGAAATATATTCAGTTGGGGTTAAAGGGCAATATAACAAAAGGTATCATCGATATTTTAACTTAAAAATAGCGAGTGTCTAATGAAAACCCAAAACATTCATACATTCAAGCATGTATGTTTTAAAAGGATAAGTAGAGGCGTAAGGCGTACTACCGACTAAGGGAGCAAACTCTTCAGGGTAACAGCACTGCAAAGAGAAGGAAAACTCTTTTCTGAGGAGAGTCCTATATCCAGCAGTGGACTATTAAATGCTGTTGATGATGATGATGATGGAAGTTCAATATGAAAGGAAAAGTCGGTAAGACCACATAGTTTATGGTTTTCGTAGCTTCGCCATCCTTCGGCACAAATGGACCAGGCCGGACCGGATCACCACGGCCTCACAGAACTTCGGTTTTAACCAACTCGGTAGTTTCCACCGAGTGATTGAGGTTCATAGATGTCAAACTAAACGGCTTTAAGGCTGAACTTCGATTTTTTACGCGGAGCGACTGCCATCAGATCTCCACAACACAAGTACCTACTAGGCTACCCGTAACCCATAACCAAAATTCAGTAATAATGTAAACTTTCAACTAACTTTTTAATTACAACAAATTACAGTTAAAAGAAAAGTGAGGTTACCGGAGACCAAACAACCGCCCCCCCCCCCCCATCACCCAGCAGCTTCTCCCTCCCCTCTGATTCTGGGGGAGGACATAAAGGGCGGCAACGCTTTAGTGACTCGTGAGTTGTATGTGTCCATAAGCGGTGGTAGTAACTTACCATCAGATGACCCATCTGCTTGTTTGCCCTCGTATGCCATTAAAAACTTCGTTTGATGCAAACTAAGTTTTTTTATTTTTTTATTTAGCATATGAGGTCTTTTAGTGTCAACGGACGCAAAAAACCCAATATCGAACCATAGATTTATCATCTATGCCTTTGTGAATAAAATGTTCTCATAATGAACGCTTTTATTAATGTCCACCTAGTTTTAAAAGCTATGGAAAAATTTTTTTTACGTAGAAGTCGCGTTTTAAATGGTAATTTTAACAACATTTTAGTAGCGTTATGAGTAACCGAATACAAGTTGATTTGGTTAAAAGAATGGATTTTGTTTTTTTTTTTATTTGGGGAATTCTATAGGTGTAATTGTCGTATCGGTCAGAAAATTCAAGTCAATGTTGAAGTTAAATCAATCAAAACAATATTTCTGTTTTAAAAGTCTCGATTTTGTGTACCAGTTATGTGTGTCGTCATCGTCATTTTCCAAAAAAAAAAGTCGTAAAAGAAACGGATATGAGGTGGGAGCAAGGGCAGGGTAAGCACACAAAAAAAAAGGGTAAGCACACAACCCGACTCCCTACCTCATATCCGTTATTCGGATTCTTGGGGACACGGGTCGGGTAACCCGACTCTTGCGGTGCCCTTAGGATACCACAAGTCTCGGGTAGGAAACTGAACTGAAAGTGAGATCCAACCGTATATCCTATGATTAGAGAAGCCATTAACACAGGGAAATCAGTTAGCTTAATAGTCTCTCCAATTTCCAACTCCTCCAATATTTCCAACTCCTCCAATTTTCTTCTGATTAATTTCGTTGCGGGTTCCAAGACAGTTTAATTTCTTCCTGGGACTTCCCGAGTGTCATAACTCGGTGTCTTCGTGGGTCACTGCTGTGGATCCTGGTGTACAGGAGTTACAGTGGTGGGCGTGTGGGTGGGATTAGTCCCAAAAAAAAAAAAAAAAAGTCCAATTTCTCAATCTCTGATATTAACTTAAACTAATTTTACAAAAAGCTTAAAGATAATTTAAATGGTCTAAAAACATTTTCTTTTGAATGCCAGAAGAATTTGCCTCTCAGCTATCGAACAGTATATTATTGTTTTATCAAGAACCAACTACAAATACTCCTTCATTATAGTGACATCTTTAGGAACAGATATATTATCAAGTTTAACGAATGAATTTTTTAAGAACAGTTAATCATAGTAGTTACTAGTAATTATGTCAGATGGCGCTGTTCACAAAATCTTTTTGATCAGAAAAATCAGTTCAAAATATGAACGAAAATATATGAACAATAATTATTTATTGTACTTTCTTAAGATTGCCAAAATTCAGTAATATACGTAAAACAATAAATTGACAATATTTAATTTGTGCCAACATTCAATTATAAGAAATTACAGTTTAAATAAATGCTTAAGTAATACTAATTAAAAAGTCAGATTCATGGGAATAAAATTTGTTTTGTTTTTTTTTGCAAGTAAATCCTTTCAGATATTTTTACAAGTCGGACTTTACAGCTAGAAAGCGCCGGCATTACCTAAGACTCGCTCGGGGAAACCATAATAATGTCTTTTTAATGTTTTTTTAAAATTATGTCTTTTTTTAACTCCGTGTACAGTGTTAAAGAGAACTATGTGAGTGCAGTATAGGGTCTGGGTTGAAGAAAGGTCCATAGTATTGAGTTGGAGTACATACAGACGGCATACGAACCCCAGCCATTGTAGAGCCTAACCGATATAGTCAGCATCAACAACCCGGAACTCGACACTACCGCCTGCAGGACACTTGAACGGGAATGTAAATTATAAACTATATATATCCCTGGTAGACTGGTAGGCCTGCCTCACAATGCTCGCACGATATGACGGAGGTCGCGCCTCTTCCCATTTCGATTCCTTCTCTTCTCCGATGATCAGAGGACGGATCACAAGAATTGATATCATAGTTGCTACACTTGACCAAGAGGTAGCGCTACATCAAGGGTCAAACAATTTAGTTTCTATAATTCTTATTGTGCATGCGTTATTGACATCTTGTAACGCAAAAATTCAAAAAAGCCAACGTCATAGGTATTTATTTTTTACTTCTCAACTTAAAATTAATGCTATCACATTGGTATTGGGTTTGGTTGTGGGCTTCGGTTTCCGCATTTAGACTCAGAGTGGTCCTTAATGCGTCGAGGATTGGTTGACTAGGTGAGCCAGCCAAGCTCCTTCCAGAAGCTCAGAAGCCTCCTGGGGCTATCATATGCTATCATATATATCACTATCACTATATCATATCACTATCACTTTTTAACCTTTACCGAAGGTGTAATATGTTGTGGCCGTAAAATTTATCACCATTCACACATCATATGTGATTTGTTTGACTATTTCATAAAACCTTCGTATTTAATTATGTGGCCAGCTTAAATGGACGATATCGTTTAAACATAATATAGTGATATATCAATTCATGTTGGTCCATGTTATTAATGTAGGGTATGAAGGATTTAAATTTTAAATGGTTAAATATAAATTCTAAATAAATAGGCGATCCCTACTAACAATATAACTTGTCAAATTTAACACACGGCCGTCCCCAAAATTTTATCATTTAGTGCACTGTACGAGTATTTACAAGAATACTGGTAAGACCACAGATTACTATGAGGAAGACTAAGTAATTATGAAAATGTATGGATGCAGTGATGGTGAAAGATGTTTTTTATTATTCTTGGGTTCAGAGAAACAATAGCATTACGCCTTTCGCTCATTATTGTCAATAAAAGAGTGGGGTATAGAGTATCCGAGTAGGGTGGAGTTTCCCGCGCTTTTTCTGAAATTGATTTGTACCTCATACGAAAGTGTGCAGTTTGGCGGGAAAACAGACAGTTGTTAGTTGACAGTTTTTTAATTTATAATTGTTCAATTCAGTCTATATTTTTTATTTTTGTGAACAGTGTCGAATAAAAAAACAAAATGTTTGTGCAATGGTGTACGTTTCTTTTTCTAGTTTCTTGCGGTGAGTTTATACATTTTATTTTTTTTTTTTTTCTTACAATATGTGCCTACATATTTTTTTTTTGTATTTTTGTTCTCACTTGTCTCTACACGACTTCTGGTTTTGCTATAGTGATCACTATTTTTTTAATTAATACAAAGCTAAAGAAATAAGTAGTGCATATACCCAGTATCACTCTCCCAACTAAGACGAACATAACGACACCTCCCAAGCCGAAATATACATAGGTATATATACATTTAGTAAAAATTTTCCTTCTATTGCAGTCGGGTAATAAAGTAGGGCAATTTAAACAGGTTTTGAATCGACTTTTATAGTTAGATCAAATAAAACCCTTTAAAATTTTGTATCTTTCGTTATCGATGCACTTGTGATCCAAAAATTGTTGTTCTGAGTCTGGGTGTTCTTGTGTCCGTTTCATGTATGTTTGAAAAGTCCCCGCGACACAGGATATATTCCTTATGTTGCGTTTAAAAAAAAACTAATAAATACTACTTTAATAAATACAACGTTTACATATATTACACATTATACTGTATTACGTTAGGAAAAACCTCTTCAGAAGTAAGAATGTGACCTAAATAATCATAAGTTTCCCACAAAGAACTTGTTCGTAGTAAGTTCTTAGAAAAAATCTCATCATGTAACATTGTGACTAATAAGTCTCATAAATGATATATCATAAACGCATATTTTATGCCAATACTTAACTTGTTGAAATTAGTAACTTCATAATAAACCACATTTCATGTACTTGCACGTTTTGATATTGATCAAATTGAGATGATTAGCGCCATCGACTGCCTCGGTGGCGCAGTGGTAGCGTATGCGACTTCTGTTTTAAGGTCTCGGGTTCGATTCCCGATTCGGACCAAATGTTTGTATGCTCTGCAAATATTTGTTTCCGAATTGGGGTATTTTCTATATATAATATGTATATGTATATTAGGAAAAAAGTATATGAGTATCATATCATATCATTTCATAGTACAAGTTGTACTAGATGGCGTTGTGTGTTAGAGGGCCGAAATAAAAAAAAAAACTGTTATTCAGTAGGTACAAGAACTAATTATCCTCGATGTTCTAGAAGTTTCCAGAGGGGTGTAGGACTAGGCGAATTATTACGAGAATTTCGACTTGACCAGAATGATACTACGGCCTCACAAGCAATTCCTTCGTTGCATTTTACCGAATATGATTACTAGAGGTAGAGGCCCAAAATAATGATTCTGTAGGGGATCACTCGAAATCTTACACAGATTACTATGAAGTGTTACTCGCATTCTGCATTCGTATTGTCCGTGTGGTGACGGATTAAGAATACAGAGTGTCACCACCCGTATTCATGCCACCAAAGCAGAGAGGAGAGAAGACCAGAGTTGATGTGTTTTGAAAAAAAAACAGATTATTTCCATATCTCCTCTCCACTTGGCTTCAGTGGAAATCGATCAAGAGAGGAGATGTCTCATTTTTCTATAGAATTTTGTGCCACAAGCGAGTAAGCGGCCCGGCAGCGCGGAGATTTGTGTAGTTGGCGGTCTAGCGCCCCGTTCCCCGTTGCCTTTTCCCAGCTAACTCTTGAAATAGTGTGGCATATTCGCCATAACTGTGACATTTTATATGGTTTCTTATCAAGAATCTAAGTTGGCGTCGATAATTTAAATATTGAAGAATTAATCGTATTCCTTCAACCGCTAATTCCTCTTAGTATATTTAGACTACTTAAGATATAACTATCGTAAGGACATGACGTCATCCATTCGTACCTACAGTGACTTGACAATATAGCACAGTACTTGACTGATTTCGAGCTTTCACAGCTTACATCTCTACTACACATGGCTCACTTCTCCTCTCCGCTACGCATCTTCTCTCCGCTTTGGTGGAAATAACCTGCCAGCTTCGCAGCCTATCTCCTCTCGTCTCCTCTCTGCTTTGGTGGATACCGGGCCTAAGGGAGCAAACTACGCAGGAGAACAGCACTGCAGAGAAAAGGAAAACTTGACACAAACCCTATTTCAACCCGTTTGGCCAGCGTGGTATAGTAGTACCCAAAATCTCCTTTCTAAGGAGAGGCCTACGTCCAGCAGTTTACTATTAAAGGCTGTTGATGATGATGATGAGGATGTTACTCATATTACCACTTGTAACGCACTTGTACTCGTATCACTTGAATTGCAGGTGTCCATGCGTGACGGTGATTACTTACCATCAGGTAAGCCGTCTGCTCGTTTGCCCCAATACCAAAATAAAACATCTGTCTCTCAATCAATCACCATTATAAAGTTATTGTCACTCAACCTCATACATTTTACAGATGTGCGCATGAGCAACGAAGCGACAGTGACCACACAGCAATCTGTTGATGAACCAGATCTAAACAACATTCACTATCCAAAGTATCCAAGATATCGAGGTAATGTTACTGAACTCCTTCTATTGACCTGTTTGTTGCTCTAGTTTCTCTAGTTATCCTGAATACTGAGTCAGAGTTTAATTCCTGCATAGGACAATTAATGTATGATGAGCGAGGATGAACAGGATCATTTGTTCTGTATCTGGGTGTCATTTATCTATAATATGTATGTCATGTATTTACGGATTGAAGGCGGAGTGGTTTAAGCGGTCACCTTGCCGCTTCCTACTACGCTGAGTGTTGGGGGTTCGATCCCCACATGAGACAACACTTTGTATTATCCACAAATTTTTGTTCTAAGTCTGGGTGTTCTTAGTGTGCGTTTCATGAATGTTTGTAAAGTCCCCCGCGCCACAGAATATGTTCCTAGTGCAGGAGTTTTCTTTTTAACTCTCACTCCTATTTATTCAGCAGTCTGATTACAGGCATATCATAGTACAGGCTCTGCTTAGTTTAGGATGATGATTCTAAATCAGGTCATACATTTGCTCACTTGGATCCTCTATACCATAAAGAAAAGCAATTTGTCTGTAAATCAGCGCTTGGAGTCCCCTGAATCTTAAATCTGACTCCTAATCACCATATACCTTAATTTGCTTATTTTTCCTTTACAGCGTCAAGTGCATTAATTATTCCCGATGTGGTGCAGTCGCTTGCTCACTTTATTAGATCATTTTTACCAACTATCAACAAAGGTAGGTTATTGTGTTACATCATTTCTAAAATTTATCATTCAGTTTTTAAGTGTAGTAATAATAAAGTCTCTTCAGTCGTCAGAAGGTTTATTATTCAAAATCAACGAACCCTAACACGTAACAGTATCATAAAGAATCATTTTGTAATTTCAGGTATAGACTCTCGCGTTGGGTTCGGCTTTGCGTTCGGTAATCACGCTGACTTCCAAGTAGTCTTGGAACTGGGACCTCAAAAGAAAACTAAAGCTCTAGGTAAATATACCATCAACGCCACGCAGGGCCGTCTTTAGCCTATCGGAGGGCCTGGGCACATTGGGATAGTGGGGCCCCCACGACCTTGACTGATTACTATTATGTTAAAAAAGCCAAAAAAGGTATTATAATCAACCATTTTCGCTGTTTTTATACGGCTTTCGGTAAATGGTTAATATGGTTTTCGGTAATAAATATCGATTATCGATTTAAGTAGGTAGGAATTTATGGGGCCTCTATCTATCGAGGGGCCCTGGGCACGTGCCCAGAGTACCCAGTGTGAAAGAGGGGCCTGATACCACGAGGTAGAACACTCTGTTATGCTCTTCGTTATCTGCCTCCCCAGTCGCCAGTATCTACTGTAATTTTCTAGCTACTGCAGTCTCAGGACCATTTCCCACCCAAGGCTTGCGGTATTCCTTCCCAAGTTTCTTCACTCGATCCATTTTCTTTATCCCAAGATGCCATCTTCCTTTGTCCCTTCTGAAAATTATTATATTCTACAGAAGTATTAGCAGTAGGCAGCAGGCTGCAAATAAAAGAAAAAAGTCAAAAGCCGTTAGAATGTTACTAATTGCGCCGATCTTGAACAGAATTAAAGAAAGGCAGAAATTGATTATGATACATAATATTATCTACACGTCGTCTTATGACGTAGCCCATTTTGTCCCGAATAGCAAAGGACGATTAAGTAGAATGTATAATAAGTTTATCTTATAATATAATCAAGGAAAACTCAAGATTATTAGTTTTGTTTGGCGTAATACAGAGTGTCAACACCCCTTTTTTTTTCGGAAATCCCCTCGTATACCACCTGTCGGTGGCATGTCGGACTCGAATCGACTAAAACCGCACGCCGTCTCGGGTACTAATAGCCGGGGAACCAGGTATACCCTAGAAAGGAAGTCCCTGGTGCCCCGAAGTGTCAACACCCCTATTCATCCCGTGGGTGTTGTAAGAGCCGACTAAAGGAAAAAAACTACGCAGAGAGACAGCACTGCAGAGAGAAGGAAAACTTGACACAAACCCTATACCAATCCGTCTGGCCAGCGTGGTATAGTAGGCCAAAACCTCCTTTCTAAGGAGAGGGTTATGTCTACCAGGGGACTGTTAAAGGCTGTTGATGATGATGATGATGATGTGATTAGTTTTCCAAAATGTTTAGAAGTAATTGCCCAAGGTTGATGTTTCAGTAACTTACATATGCAAATATTGCAATCGAATGTGTCCCACATAAGACTAACTTTTAGATATCAACAATAAGTTGTCCAATGACTCTCCTTTACTGCTTCCCCTTCTTGGCACCTGATTGGTCAGGGTGCTGGGCTTGATCAATAAGTATGCCGCCTATTTTCTTAACGCAAATGGAGTATAGTTTTATTTTTTACTTCTATTCCAGATGGAAGAGGATTCCAGACGACTTCTACAAACGCCAAGCGACAGGCTTCATTGAAGCCAAAAATTACCAAAGTCAGGAAAAAGGTATCTGATTCTTCACCGTCAGATTTTTTTACTGTCCTGTATACCTAGTGCTAGTAGGAGCTAATTTAACTATAAAAGCAAGTAGAGTCGCTGTAGCTCGAAGGTAGAGGAGATAATGGATTAGTCGTACTTACCAGCAATCTGGTTGAGTGCTTTTTGGTGCCGTAGTTTATAAAATGTTGTCTAAATATGTACTTGTAACTTCTTTATATTTACAGTTCTTCAAAAGTGATGGAGACAAATACCTTCAGAACTGGGCCCAGATGATGAGAGACCAGAAGTTCTCAACTAAAAACGGTAAATAGAGTTATAGAACAGATAATATCTTGGAAGAGTTGATCACATGTTTTAGAGCAACTTCGCATTAAAATTCGTATGATAGGACATATGAAATGAATTGGGAAAATTATCCAAGATTTTTTTGAAAGATGACTCTGGAAAAAGAGTGGAACTTGAAAGCGAAGTTACCAGATATGGTATGGAGTGACAGTCAGGGATCCTTACCTTCCGAGGAAATTATAAGTTTTAATTAAAATTACAACTTAATAAAGTGACTTTTCTTTGCCTCGTATGCCTTTAATTACCATAATTTTAGGAGCCTGGGCTGACCTATTGTAGAGAGAGTGGAGCTGTAGCTCCAGGCGACAAAACGCCAAATCAAAAACAATGTCCAGCATAAAATAAAATGTTTACATGTTTTCATTTTTGCTTTTTCTTCTCTGTAACCGGTTACATTCCCAAGGTGGATTGGTGTCCACCAACCCAGCGAGCACCCACCATAATACACATCGTGCCGACCTGAAGACACCAAAATATTCACTACTCTCGGACTGCTATTCGTATGTTCATATTATTCACTAGCTGACCCGCGCAACTTCGTCTGCGTCTCTCAATAGTAATAAATTTTCTCCGTTTTTGAAACATTCTTCATTGGTGCTCCGCTCCTATTGGTCTTAGCGTGATGATATATAGCCTATAGCCTTCCTCGATAAATGGGCTATCTAACACTGAAAGAATTTTTCAAATCGGACCAGTAGTTCCTGAGATTAGCGCGTTCAAACAAACAAACAAACAAACAAACAAACAAACTCTTCAGCTTTATAATATTAGTATAGATTTATTAAGTCCGGAACGCCTTAATTTTTTAAATAGCAACACATTATTACATGTAAACTGTGCGTTTGCTAACACCAGTTGATGATTTGACTGAAGTACTAAAATAAAGTAATACGTAAGTGTTCTGAAAGAAATTAATCTATTCCAAAGTAAGGTGCATAAAATAAAGATTTATATGAAATCAACTGATAAAGTCGAGTCTAATAATAATAATATTTAATGATGTAGACGAAATCATTTATTTCAAGCCTAGGAATTTGGTCTAACTAATCTGTTCCATGCAAAAATCGTCAAACAATAGCAAGATACGTAATTATTGGTGGTATGACAGTTCTGCAGAGCCATAATCTTTGGTGATAGTCCATAGCTTATACCGAGTATCTGTTTGCATTGGTAGAAGACGATGCAGGCTTGTTTAGTTTCTCGTCGAGGTGCCTATTCCATAGGAGTATACTGTCTAGTATTACTCCTAGATATTGGACCTCTTTGGCAAGAGTCAGTTGTACACATCACTATTCAACGATCCTCAGTGCAGATCTCATTTGATCACGAATAACGCCCTGAAAGGTCCACTCATTAGGATACTTCAACTAAAAATAAACATAAATTATTTACGTTTTTCTAAATGATAAAAGCGAGACGTACACGGCTCTTTTTAATATATTAAAAGCCCAGTTTCCAGACTGGCAGCTATTAAAGTATCATTGCGATTTGGAACTTGCATCTTTAAATTCTATTTTCAAACTTTTTTTGATGTTTGCCCAACATTAAAGATTACGAGTAAAGGATGTTTTTTTTGTGAAGGAATTATCATTTGCAAGCAAGCTATATGGAAGCTGGGCAAAAATATTTTCGATATTACAAAAGGTAAACCCCAAGCCAGAATTGTGTTACTGTATTCAGTACTGCCATTATACCAAGTGATCGACTTTTGGAAGTGTGGGAATATGTTAATCTCGGTACAACATTAATAATATTAAAATCCATAACGTTTAAAATTACTTGCAACGTTTTTGGCTGTACTCTGCTGACATCGTTAAAACTCTCAGTGTCTTCGGAGATAGGCACCGAACCCAGAACGTGTCAGGGTCTTGGTATACAAAAGTCATTGACATTTAGTACTTTACGCAGAGTAGTAGTTACCTTTGCGACTGTCAGTCAATAGTCGCAAAGTTTTCACTTACACAGACAGTGGTGCTAATTCTGTTGTTCGAAAACTCACTAAACTAAACTAAAAATCACTAAAAATTTGTTTAGTTCTGTCAAACAACGTTTCCTATTCTGAAAACGTAATATTTGACAGGACAAAATTTATTTTTAGTGATTTTTAGTTTAGTTTAGAGAGTTTTCGAACAACAGAATTACCACTAGTGACAGAAAACCGACTTGTCGGCCATGATGAGTGTACCAAAATGCTAGTAGGTAATTATTAAAATGAGATAAGAAGTAAATAGTAAATTAAATTCCAATCATTAGTCTAGTTTTTTTAATTTTGCCCCACCCCTAATTAAATGCTGTCACTTATGGTCCATGGTGTCAGTTACTGATGTCCTCCCAGACGACGACGGCTATACCCTGTCACCTTTCTACAGGTCCATTTACGCTCATGCGCGTGACTCGTAAAACCGAATTTGGTTTTAAATACACGGTCACATGAGGCACAGTGAAGCTCACCACGCGTCAGTTACTAACAGGTAACCCCTGCCGTTCGTCTTCCATACCATAAGAGAGAGGGAGAGCCTAATAGTATTTATTTAATTTAAAAATAATTCTCATAAAATGATTTAGCTTTGTTATTAGCGCACGTCATAACTATCTTAACCTATTGAGTGAGCTTTGAACTTTCTTTTACAAGAACTGGAAACCACCGGCATAATGATGTCCAACACTCAAATTTATAACTGATTTATACGAATATTATTCGATTCTTGCAAGCTGATGCCGATGTACTGCCGATGCTGATGTACTGATACTTATGTACTTGATATAATTAAGCAATAGTAGAAATAAACTTCTTAATAAATAGTCTTCTCTAATTAATATTAATTAAATAATCATTATTAGTAATCATTATTTAGTTCTTGCGTAATTAATATAATAATTAACGCCAAATCCTCCCTATAAACTATTACGGTAAAACCATAAACACATTTTACACATAGGAACAGTGATGAACAATAAAATTGAACTCTTGAAAAAAACGCCAATTAAAAAGATGCTTTGGAGTTGTCATTTTCGCAAGTCATCTTTTATGTATGAAAAATAACACTATTGTTTAATTAAATACATTTAGATTATTTATTTGCGACATAATTTTTAGTGCATATCAATCGTATCTATTCGATGTATCGATTTTGAAGTAAAACTACACACCTATCACTCAACTAGGTTTCGCAGAATATGAAAGTGATGAAGGATACAAAGTAAAAAGGCTTAAGATTTTACTTGCTAGAGTAAAATCAACTTTATTCCATAGAAATGGAGTTATAAATTATTTGTTTCAAGTTTCTCATATAAGTCTCGAGTGTGAAAAACACTGCAAGTGAATGGAACCCACACATAGAACTTAAATGTATAAAGCATAATGTAATTTTATTTTAAACCTTAACACTATCAGTGAGAAAGTTGTTTCTTGTTTAAGAGTCCTTGAGTACTTAATTCAAAAAGTTATGAAATTCTGACCACATGGGTCACCACACCGCCTATTATGTAGTAAGAAATACATGACGAACTTCAAAAGAATTCAGTTTTAATGTAGGAAAAAATTAAGTTGTTATTTAAGTAGTAATGAGGAGTACTTACGACAATTTAATGTTAGTGAAAGCTGTCTGTTCCTCGTTCGAAATTTGTATTCAGTTTGGCGGCAAAACTGATGGTCGCTGGTTATGCTATCATTTTACGAGTGTTTTTTTTTAAATTGCTAGTGATGTGTAGCAGTGTAATTTCGTGATATATTTACATAAAAAAAGAATTTGTGTTATTTTGTGTTTAATGTACGCTTTAAAATGAAAACTTTAAGAATGTTTGTGCAATGGTGCATGTTTCTCTTCCTACTTTCCTACGGTAAGTTCATTCAAATGTATTTCTTAAACTAGAATTTTCACATATTATGTATTTATTTAGAAATAAGTTGGGGTTTTACTATAATAGGCACGAGTTACAGTAAAAGGAGTTTTACTAAAACTTATTGTGTTCGAATCTGTATAGGTGCTAGTAAATGAAAACAGAAAACTTAAGGTTTTTACTATTAGGTAGGTATACATATGTATAATAACGTCTTTTTTCGAGATTGAATTTTTTCTTAGTACAACAGCGATTATAAAAACCCAAAATAATGCTTATAATGTTGGTTTTTAATGTGATTTAGAACGGATTCCACACTACTCAGATTAAAGGTTACTTATAATATAAAGGGAGTAAAAAAAATCTTAATACTTGTATTTAAATTCTGCAAACGTACCTACAAACAATCGAGAATGAATGGCCAAAAATAAAACAGTAAATACCTTCCTAGATTCCTAGCCCGTTGTTAATGTACCAAAGAAAGTGCAGATTACGTAGGTAATGTTTTTTTTATTGTTTGTTCCATACCGTGCGAAACGTAACACTTCATTGAGACTTGTTTGTATTATTATGGTTGAAATTATGACGTAGGTATCTATGGTTAACAACTTTTAATTTCCAACCACAGTGAGAGTTTTATTTATTGACTAAAATATACCTTTGTTATCGTTATGGCACAATTGTATAGGTAATTTGAGCCAAAACTATGATTAACTAAAATAATAAAATAACCATAATTTTTAATGTTTCAAAATTTTCATACAAATCTCGAACTTCATAGCAAATAAGTTTACCTTTTTTTTAATTATCCGTAAAATTGATAAAAAGATAGATTTATGATCGGAAATGTATTCTCTTGTGCAAAATCATCATCATCATCAGCCTATCGCAGTCCACTGCTGGACATAGGCCTCTCCCATTGTACTTAAATACTTACTAGTAAATACATCATGTTATTATGTATTCGTAAAAGAACAGATGACAAGTTTGTATTAAAAAACATGCCTAAAGATGACGAGTATGTTAGTACCGCTAACCTCAATTTCTACTAGTCCGGTTATTTTTATTTAGATAGCTGTTTTATTTAGAGAGGTTCTCGGATAGGCATATATCGCAGCAGTAATCTATATTAATGATGGTTTTAGGTTATATAACATGGCACGATGAGTCAGTATTATTGTATTCACATACTTTCTACATTAGTCAATTTGTCTGCAGGAAAAATCTGCATACCTACTAGCTAACCCGCGCAGCTTTGTCACGTCTTTCAAAAGAAATAATTTTTTCCCAGTTTTCATTGATGATGACGGCTCCTTTTGGTCGTAGCGTCATGTTATACGTATAACGAATAGCCTGCCTCGATAAATTCGCTATCCAAAATTTTTTTTTTTTAATTGAACCAGTAGTTCCTGAGATTAGCGCGTTCAACTAAACAAACAAACTCTTCATCTTTGAAATTAAAGATTATCATCATCATCATAACAGCCCTTATATTAGTTGTCCACTGCTGGACATAGACTTTGCCTTAGAAAAAAGGTTTTGGCCTATTGTAACAAAAAAAAAAATTAGAAGATAGAGTTTGTATACATTTGTATAAGTCTTATGATCTAACATAAGGTTAACAAAGAAAATGAAATACAAAAAAAAAGTTGTACAATTCGCGGCGTTATCCTGACGCAACCACTGCTGGGTGAAGAAGGTACTCGTATATAATATAATAATAATAACCGCAGTCAGGGTCACTAAATTCAAGAGAATAGTAATATATCTAACACATCACACATCATCACCATAGCACAGGCTCTGCCTAGTCTGATCCCAAACTACGCAGAGCCTGCGCTATGGTAACCAGACTGCTGATAAACATACTTAAATATTTTAAATGTATCTAACATATTATAGATAAATTACACCCAGACACAGAACAAAAGACCGTGCTCATCACAGAATATTTGTCCTGGGTGGGAATCGAACCCACGACCTCCGGTTTAGCAGTCAGGGTCACTAACCACTAGACCAACAGGCCCGTCAAATAGATGGATTAAGGACTGTTAGCTGGTAGAACTTAAGTAGGTCAGAGTATTTATACCTGCAGAAAACCTGTAGCCCGAATGGGCTGATGCCGTTAAGTCCGATCCCTCGAACCGAACTGTTCTTAGTTCATATAATTAATGAGTTAAATTCGAGTATAAACCTGGTCCTACCTCCTTAGGGTAGGGCGCTTAGGTCGGCCGTCGGTACAGTTTCTAGTGGAAACACCACATACGATATCCCACCTCTTCAAAAAAAGATCTATCCAGCTGTCAAGAGATTCGTGAATGAGGTACAGGTATAGATTAAACTCAAAAACCATTTAATTAATTATTTAGAAAAGTTAGAAGTTTTATAATAATTGTCATTGTTTGTAATTAGAAGCAATTCTTATTTAATACCACGTTCATAGAGACTCACAGTTGACGTACGAATCGTAATTACGTAAGATTACAGCACGAGGCCAACGCAGTCGTATTCTCCTTTCTCTGTTCACCCTTTGAAGGACATAGCGTAATGATTATATGATATATTTAAATAACCGGATGTATGAATATACCTGTTTATTAAGGTTAGTTTTTTTAAAGTGACCTTAAGTATGTTTTAAAAGTAGTTGTGCTCACCGTGGCTTTTGTTTTATTGGTATTTATAGGTTTTTCAAGAACTCAAACTAAAATTACCTTTCCTAAATAAAAGTAGCATGTTATTTTTTTTTTTTTTTTTAACGTGTGGAAATCCCCTCGGACCGTCACCCCACCGGGGTTTGCGGCGGGGTGGTGTGTCGGACTCGAACCGACTAAAACCACACGGTGTGCCCTCTTTGCGCTTCCTCCGGAGATTAGCTAGCATAACCAAACAAACACAAAAGTTTTGAAATTCATTTTAGGTATAATATTATTATGATCTTACATACGAGTATATTATTAATATTTTTGGACATCTAATACACAACGCCATCTAGTTTCAAACTAAGCTGAGTTTGTACTATGAAAGCTAAATTGACTGATAGAATACTTATAATATAATAATAATAATCATTTTTATTAGAGTAACCATGACTCATTGAGTAAAACTATCAAATAACAAATAAAAGAAACAACCAGTCTTCTATTCCAATATCAAACAAGTCTTTAGGTTTTAGTAATAAAATTTTACTAAGAGACACTTTGTCCCGCTACCGCTAACTCAGGCTTCCGCCTCCGACCGTCATGGCGGGCAATGTGCCCTTAATCATAGAATTAATAAATTTGGCAATTTCTTGGGCCTTAAAATGAATCCCCGGATCCATGACGGCCTGTCTACTGATCCGAGACGGTCCCAATAGGGATTTTACATAGAAATGATCTTTAAAGAGGTCAGCAATATCTTTGGGATCTGTCACCCCACTGACGCTCACAGGCAGCCCCATCTTGTAACTCAGTCTGTTAGTATTTTTCCAGAAATCGAAATCGTAGTTTGAATGATTCGCTGCCAGAATATCTAATTTAATTTGTCGCTCTTGATCCTGACACCATTTTAGACGAGATTTGAACATTTTCTGGTCTTAAACATATCTGCATAAATTTTACCACTGGTAGGTTTACCATGAAAGTTCCAAATCAAAAATGCTTGTTTAGCCTGTCCGTGAGTCCCAGCGACATGTTTGTTTCATCCTGTAATGTATTGCTTTGGTATACGCTTGCTGTTTCCTCGACCCACCTTGGCCGCCTCGGTCAGCGCGTTCACAACGTCAACACAAAGCTTATCAATTGTATATCTATGAGTAATATCATTACACGTTTTATCACAACAGTTAGTCAATTCTTGTGGACAAGTCTCAGTCTATAATTACATTCATTATGATATATTTCTATATAAACTTTTATACTTCTTTTTTGTAGATACGTACATATTAAACATACTCGTAGAAAACACCCACAGTCCGAAACAAATATTTGCAGATCATACAAACATTTGGTCCTACCCGAGAGTGAAAACACCCAGCAGTCGCATACGCTACCACTGCACCATCGAGACCAATACCCGTCCAGTGAGAGCGTAGTATAAATGACCAAAACCTCTTTTCTAAGGATAGGCCTATGTCCAGCAATGTACTATTATTAATAGCCCACTGTTTAATAGTCTATTACTTGAAGGCTGTTGATGATGATGATGACAAGCAGATATTCCAATTTTATTAATTTTTATAACGCAGCAATTATATGGTACGACTAGTTGGGTTGAAATATCAAGAAGTGTTGCCATACATCTTAATTATATGTCGTCAAGGAATAGACAAACGCAACTTTTGAGGTTATTAGTTTTCTGTTTGCTCGTATATGTCTATGCTCACATATGTCTAAGTATATCTCCCAAATTAAAATGTCTATTAAATTTAAACTCTCACACAAAAGCTACATGTAATTACATAAAATATCTATCTTTCCACATGCAAGTATTTTTTGTATGTCTAACTATACATATTACAACAGCGAGTCAGTATGTGTGTCACGTCTTGAGATCTTACGTCTTGGGTAATTGCACACAGGTTTTGTCACAGTTTAGCGATTCCATGTCGTGTCAAGGTTGCGGTCCATTGCTTTACCTACGGGGTATTATACTCACCAGATCTATACGAATCAATATGAAATCTTTAATTCATCAATCATCATTAACAACCTTTAATAGTCCACTGCTGGTTATAGACCTCTCCTTAAAAAGGAGGTTTTGGTATATTAATACTACGCTGACCGGACGGGTTTTTATACGGTTTGTTTTAAGTTTTCCTTCTCTTTGAAGTACTGTTTTCCTGCATAGTTTGCTCCCTTAGTAGGCTCGTACGACACCCGCAAAATGAACAGGGGTGGTGACTCTCTATTTCTAATCCGTCACCACGCGGATAATCTTTAATTAAAGGGATTGTATTTCTAGGGACTAGGTAGAGTTACAGGTGCGTTCTGCATATACCTGTTCAAGGTACTGCTTACACTCTCTAAACCACCTGAGTATAAGCTGAGTACTGTTCTAGCACCTAGTGATCCTGAGCAGCTAGAGGTCATGGGTCGAACCCATCCAGGACAAATAATTGTGTGATGAGCACGATCATTCATCATATGGTCATGATTATAGAACAATGTCGGTTTTGAAAAAAATACGACATTCAGTTTTTACCATATTTGGATACTAGATTGTCTAAATATTATTATTACAGTCAAGAAGAAATTATATGTATTTTAGATTTTAAATTATTGAGTCGGTAACCTGACGGATTTGATTTAAGAGCTCAAAGTAAAATCAATCATGTGTTTTTCTATAAAATTGTGTAATTATTAGTTGTTATTTTTATTGCATTTTAAAACAAACCCTATGTTTCACTTGTACGCCAATTTTCATAGTTACAGGTTTAGAATTAAAAAAGTTATGCCAAAAAAACTAACAATTATTTGTAATGGCTGCCCTGTAGTTCAATAAATGGAAGATCCGACACTATTTTACGACTATAACGATATCGTCTGTGACTGGGTGTAATTTATCTATAATATGTACGTATTTAGAAATATATGTAGGTAGGAGTATTTCCTTTTGCCCGCAGCTCCGCCCGCATGTAGAATAGAATAAAATAGAATAATCTTTATTGTGCACCAATTCAGGATATTATACATACAATAGTATTCCAAGTTAATGACCGTTTACAAATGGCGACCTTATCGCTAAAAAGCAATCTCTTAGAGGCAACCTTTGGATGGACAAATAGACTGTAAATAGGTAATTTCATGGGCCGATTTGGTGAGAAAAAAGTATAAAGGAAACAAAAAACAAAAGAATAAAAATTATACAGCACAACAGCAATTTTTTGACAGTTATAAAACAAAGTAGTGTTAATTATATACAGCAGTCAGTCCTAGGAATACCTACTTATATAAATACAAGTTAATACATACTATATAAAGTAAACTGTAATACATACATATATACAGAAATACATAAAATCTACAATTCATTTGCAGAGGAATACAGCAGATAGGATATGTTTTTTAAATAATAAATTAAAATGTTCTTTGACCATTTTTTTACTAGTTTACAGCCTTTACAAGTCCACTGCTGGACATAGGCCTCTCCTTAGAAAGGAGGCCCACTATACTGGCCAGACGGGTTGGTATAGGGTTTGTTTCAAGTTCTCCTTCTCTTTGCAGTGCTGTTGTCCTGCGTAGTTTGCTCATTTGGTCGGTTCTTACAACACCCACGGGATGAATAGGGGTGGTGACACTGTATTCTTAATCCGTCACCACACGGAGGAACCCTAAATTACAGTTAGCAATATGTTGGTGTTCCCTGCTTTTGTGTGTGTGTTTTAGGTTATTTTTTGTATTGATGATCTTGTGTTGTATGTATGTTTCAGTATAAAGTCGTTCGTTGTAGGTATGTATATACTCTATGGGCTCCAAAACGAGTGGACCAATTGGGATTGAATTTTTATGGTAGTCCCGAGAAGTTCGATAGCGATTAAACAAATATTTTTTATGTACCCGTGCGAAGCCTGCGCGGGAGTGTCGTTAATTTTATATGTACATATGTATATTGGTGAAAATTAACAGTTTCAGGTGACTATGACACCAATTTGTACCTACTAATAATTTCCTCATATTTTTATGTGTTATTAGACTTAAGCTTTGAATGTATTATGTGACTAATTAGTGACTCTACAGACTTTTAGGTTTACTGCCACATTAACGGGTATATAGGTCTCCACCCATCTTCCCCGAACCAGAATATACCACTGCGGAGCCCATCAGTAACTACTTACATTTCCAAAATGAAGTTATAGTAATAGAAAATAAAAATTCCAATTTTTATTCTCATATTAGTTCCCATCTCCCCCTGAAGGAGATACAACTGAAAATCCTGTTTTCTCTCTATTCTTGGGAAGACAATCGGGGTTAAATGGAAATTCACAGAAATATACCGTACAGTTTTTCTTCTTGTTTGAACTAATATGTAAAAATGATCTTTATTCAAGTAAAAAAATTGGAATTACGTTTGTAGGAAAAGGTTACTACGAATATTAAATGTTAACATTCTCTAACATAGTATTCAGAGTGATACTGAATTTAGAGTCTCTTGCAGCATAACACAAAACACATAATTGTCTAAGCCGAGTTATGGCACCTAATACATTTTTATGTAATCAAGGAATAACAACAACCTTCGCACTAGCTGCGGCCAAAGCAATTTAAACTCTTGTGTGTTGTAACTAATCACATATTTGTTCACGTCAACTTACTGTAGGTAACTATTTTTTGCAGACATTCTCTTGTAAGCTATTGTATACTTTATTGTACAGAAAATACAGTCGCTATATATGTATATTTGTGATATGTCTTTTATAATTTTACCTTCCTTAGATGTACATATGGCTACTGCTGCACCAGGGAAGATAATACCCGCTGTTGATGAACTGGATCTGAACAACCTCCGATACCCATCCTATCCAAAACATGGCGGCGGTAATGTTACTGAACCAGCAATTGGGCTTCAGCTTGATACTGAGCTTTTTATATCAACGCTTAATTTTTTTAATACTCCCAAGTTGTATGAAACAGCTTAAAAACTGGACTTTTGACTTCCAAATCTGTGTACAGAACAATGAAATAGAAAGACTATATAGAAACTACTTTTAAATTGGCTATGTAAAACTGCTATTTATTGAAACGGCTTCTACATGATACAATTTTTCTATGGATCGGATTGCCGATTGGATTGGGCTACAAACAGAAGGCCAATTCTCGTAATAAGACAACTCCCGCACTAGTAACATATCCTGTGTCGTGGGGTATTTTACAAACATACATGGAAACGGACACAAAGAACACCCAGACTCAGAACAACAATTTGTAGATCACACAAAGTGTTGTTCCGTGTGGGGATCGGACCCACAACACTGTGAGGAAGCGAGCGAGGTGACCGCTTACCCCACTACGCCATCCGTGCAGTCAATTAAATTAAATATTAAATTGTTCGACAAATTGTACCGTTTGTGAAGCCGTTTTAATGAATAAATGCTTTCTTCTATTATTGTACATTCTGACTACCTATATATATACCTATGTACCTAGATATACCTACTCTTAACTGCACCTTTTTTTAGTAGGTGGTGGTGGTGGTGGTGACAGCTAACATAATTTTGGTGGTGGATTTCACATTAAATGGTGATAAATTTTACATTTTGGTTGAAAATAATGTAATGTTTATTTGTAGATATAGTTATAACAGGAATAACATAAAATGCTTATTATTTTAAGAAAATTTGTAATTTTTTCGAAATAAGACAATGTTATAAATAAACTCTTAAATTTAATAATAAATTAAAATAATAAGCAAATGAGCGATTAACCTAACAAATATTGCGTACGTAAACGGGACATGAATGAAAGGGATCGAAAGGCGGCAAGGTATTTGTGTCTCTTTAGTTGCAGTGTCCACAGTCGACGGTATTCACTTACCATAAGGAAAACCTATTGCTTGTTTACATCCCTTCATAGAATCTTAATAAAAAAATCCATTTTCTTTATTCTGAATAAACAAATCACATAGCAATTAAAATTAGTTAAAAATCCTTTATGTGTTGCTTAAAAAATGTATCAACACCGTGACCTACACCCAGACAAACATTCAGTGTTTTTTTTTTTTGATCAGTAGGTATATCAGCTTTGCAATTTCTCAGTTATTTATTACGCTTCTAAAATTAAATCACATCTCTGTATAACACTGTGTACTATTTTAGACTTTCTAAACCATATTAATTTTCTCTATAATGTACATTTTCTTATTTATCCACGCAAATATACACTAAATTAGTTGAAAAAATTTCATACCTAAATGAAGAATGATAATTTGAGCGAAGGCCGCGCAGAAATTGTGACTAAAACTTAATTAGGTTAATATAACATTTGTACAATATATTGTATTACATAAACATTTCTTATTAACTAATGTTACGTTGTTGGTAACAAAACATATAATTTAATTAACAATTAGCTAATTAGTACATTACAACATAAATATTTCATTTCTAATGAAGTCTTTAAAATGACAATCGTCATAGGCACAGTTCATCATATTATTATAGTAAAATGTCCACTCAGTTCGTTACGTTCATACAAAACGGCAATTTCATAGGTAAAGACCTATTAATAACACAGCCTTGCCTATTTCTTCCAAAAAAAAGTAACATTAAAAAATAATAGTTAAAAAAAAACTAAAAAACACGCTTTTTTTAGAAAAAAAGCGTGGGGTGCTTTTTACTATTGACAACAGGCACCCAACGCTTTTTTTCAAATTTATAAATTATAGTTTTTTAAAACTATTATTATTATTATTTTTAATTATTGTATTGTCGGTATATCTACAAAGTTTGAACGAATTCTAACCGTTTAAAGTCAGTTCGGTTCGGTTACAAACAAACATACAAGTGAAGCTAATATAAAGCATGTAAAAAGATAGGCTTATAAAATCATTTAAATAAAAAACTCAAAATCTCTAAAAAGGAGTTTTTAATATGTGTTTTTGTTACTAAATACAACAAACAATTTGTCCTTTTTTTATTTTTTAATATTAAGTTAATTTCAACAATGTAATGCAATTATATAAATAGGTTATTATTTATTTATAACATATTTGTACTATAATATACATAAATATTCATTTTATTTCATTTATTAAAGAACCCTCTTAAGAGGCTTTCATTTTTTCGACATTGTTCTGTCCAAGTTCCTACAGTTATTTTGCCCGTCCCCCATTTCTCATTATTCCATTTCATCATAACCCGTTAGTCTGGCAAACACAATAGTTATGTGTTTCATTTGCATGTAATGGTTGATTGAGTCTCTATATTAAGAGGTACATAATTACATTATAAACCATATACTTTCACATGTTACATTTACGGCAGACAGAGCATGCGTCGCTGATGCAATAGTCCAGCTAAAAAGTTTATTGGTAAAATGTTTGTGGTCGATATGGTTGCTTGAGGGCGCTACATCGCTTTACAAAGAAATTCTCAAGCCGCTGTGCGTTTACCCCAAAAAGCTAATGATCTAGGGACTGGCTTATTTTACACTTTGGTATGGTCAGATGGCATTTAACGTGGTAATCGTCAGCGAAGTTCTAAAAGTGCTTAAGTTATTTTGATAGCAATTGATGTAGAAAAATCACGCGAGTCATTTCAATATTATAGCTCATTCGCGTTAAGAAAATAGTGACGCATCGATCAAGCCCGCCCGTGATCAATCAGCAACTAAGAAATTATCGTGTCGTACTAAAGTTTGGAACCTGATTGGTAAGGGTCAGTATTGTCCTAACGCGAATCAACCATAGTCAGAAAAGACATTTTTCAATAAAACTGACACTGCGTAGTAAACCTACATAGTTAACACAGCGTAAGTCACTCAATTGCTTATAGATTCGTAACCTGCTAAATGATAATCAATGCGATTTGTTCACACTTTCAGCTGGGACAAAATAACTAGCACAACATAAAACTAGCGAGCCTTGCAGTGGTCGCATTAACTCGCTAGTGATGTGTAATATCTGACACCTCACTGACCTCACCTACCATCTGAGGATCAACTCTAGCACCGCGTGCGCTCAATGGTTAAATCAAATGCTTTTCCGGCATCCTGTTACACAGATTCGTCTCTTTTTATGAAATGACCCACAGATTGTAGGAAAGTGAGAAGAAAGATTACACATCAAAACCTGTACAAATTTCCATCTTCAGTGGAACAGTTATTTTGCTTACCTGTAAAGTAGACATGTTTTACTTACGCACTCTTAGAACTCAAGTAATTGGTCTTCTGATCACGAGAGGCATATACATCGATGGGTAGGTATTATTGAATATCGTAAACCTTTTAAATAATATATTTGCCTGAATCATAAAAATATGTATATTCTGCATTAATTTGTGTCTAATCTTGTATAATATGTATTTATGTCTTCACAAAAAAAGTATGCCTAATATTTATGTGTTCCAAAACCTGTGTTCTGTGCTGCATAGTAGTTACTACAAGACACAACAATATTTTTATTAGTACTGCAAATATATTATTTATTCGATCGAAATTTTTAACTTAATCGTTAGCGAAACGTTAGGACCGACATGTTGAATCGAATAAAAGTCCTACAACTCAAAGAGAAAAGAGACAAAATATGTTATACTGATTTTTCTCATTACAGTATCAGGTGCTTTCATCATCCCTGAGGAGTTGCCATCACTTCTGTCCGTAGCTTACTCCAATATTCCACCGATCAAGAAGGGTATGTTAATGTATATACTGAACGCCCATCAAAAAATTTACTTTAGCGCCATCTAGTTAAGACAACTACATAGTAACTACTGACCTGTATCGCGCGGTCAAATTTATGGAGTTTCTTTTTTTAAAATTTCAGGTACTGACTCCCGTGTTGGGTTCGGCTTTGCGTTCGGGAACCACGCTGACTTCCAAGTAATGCTCGAGCTGGGTCCTCAGACCAACACCAAAGCTTTGGGTAAGAAATATTTACTTTAAAGGAATAGTTACTTTGTGTCACGATTACCCTTTTGTTTTATTTTTTATGTGCGGAAATCCCCGTCAGATACTACCCACCGGTGTTAATGTCGAACTCTAACCGACTGAAAACGCACGCTATCTCAGGTACCAGGTACCAGTGCCGGGGAACCAAGTGTACCCTAGGAAGCAAATTCCCGGTACTGGAACCCCGACGTCTGACCCCCTCGTGTATGGGAACCATGGTGTTTCCGTTCTATAACTAAAAGGCGCGTGGCGCCGCCAACCCGGCTTGCTTCTGGTCACCCACAGGCCTGGGCCTATAGAGGTCGGAGGTCGTTCTGTGACCTCCCCGGCCTGAGTCGTCTGTGATACCTGCCCCTTTCCCGGGCCTTGGTCTTAGAAGTTCGACACGCTCTTGTTCTGTACCATGGGCGCGATCATGAGAGAGAATTCCCATTCCGATGGCCGCCAAGAGGTCACCCACGGGTGAACCCACGCCGGGCATGTGGAGCGCCGTGTCAACGGTCTGGCCATTGCAGTGGTGACACCCAGGCGTTGGCTCCTTGTGGATCAAACACAAATGATCTCCGAAGCATCCTTTCCCGGTGTCCAGCCGGTATGAGAGGGTCCCGTGATGGCTCTCGAGCCAATCCTCACTTTTAGCGTCATTAACTTGTTTTCAGTTCGTAAGTGACAGATCTATTTCATTTCAGATGGCACAGGTTTCCAGACGGCGTCAACAAACGCCAAGCGTCAGGCTCCATCACCACCGAAGATCACAAAATCTAGAGAAAAGGTATCTGTAAAGATTATTACTTACATATAAATAGGACTGTTCTGTACACCTAAATAATAAGTTACCGAAAGAAACAGATTCGATAGTTATGGTGAACGCGTTCGGCGTTGCCATTGGTGAGTTCGTTGCGGGCCAATCGCAACGACAAACGCGGTCCCATGACGATGGAATTGATATGAAATGAACTCGCAATAGGCCCTTAGTACTCAGTTAAGCTCAGAGAGTACGAATTTTTTTCTTTTTTTTTACCTTTATGAGAACCAGTGCCGAACATTCACCGGCAATTGTTGTTGGTGAGTGTTCGGCTCGCTTACTCCTTATACCTAAAAAGTATGTTTATCAGCAGACTGGTTACCAAAGTGTACATCCTGCATGGTTTGGAATCAGACAGCCTTTTGAGAAATGTGTTAATTTATTATTATTAATCTTTACTGTATTTACAGCTTTTGCAAACAGATGGCAGTAAATACCTTCAGAACTGGGCCCAGAAGATGAAACACCCTCAAATACTAGACTTTGATTCTCCAAAACCAGGAGAAGTTCCCAACTTAGAAGAGTCCGTGGTAGAATTAAAAAAGAACGAAAAAGGAGAATATGAGATCCATCAACCACAACCCGGAAACCTGTCTCCAAAGATATTGGAAGATTTGATAAAATTGTATAAGATTAAGAGTGAAGTCGCGAAGAAGATGATTACGAAAGAAAGGTCAGAAGAGGAGGTCAAGAAGATTACAGAAGATTTATCTAATGTGGACTTGGATTAAGAAATTAATGTTGATGTATAATATAAGATATCCTATTTAAGCGAATAAATAAGTGAATGGGTCATTTTTCATTCGTTCTTTCGTTCTTTCTTCCTTTAAACATTCATAATTACTAGAAATCGTCTGGCAGTCGAATTTCGACAGCTTTGTAAGTCTTTTTATTTCAATGGTCAGAAAAACCCGTACTATCATTGTATAGAAATGTTAAGCCATGACATTTGATAAGTAGGTACAGTTACAATCTCCTTACAGTAAGTAAGTAAGTTATTATTATCTAAGTTGTTGTGTGCATGTTTTCTATGACGGTATAAGGTAATGAAGGATTCATTATCGTTTCAATTTATTCCTTCATCTCTTACTTTACTCTGAATTCTTTAATTCATAAATTGGATATCTTATTTTATTTTGTACATATTTGTACACTTTTGTAACAAACTAGTGTTTTAGTTTACATGTTGTTTTATTTTATGAATATTATATTTACCATACTAATATTATAAATGCAAAAGTGTGTCTGCCTCTCTGTCTGTTACCTCTTCACACTTAAACCGCTGAACTGATTTAGATAAAATTTAGTATAGAGATAGTTTGAGTCTCGGGAAAGGACATAGTATAGTTTTCATTCCAGAAATCACCCTTTGAGGGGGTGGAAGTTTGTATGGGGAATAAATAACCGCTTAACCGATTTAAATCAAAATTGGTATGGAGATAACCAACATACATACAGGCAGAGTCGCGCGGATAAGTTAATTTATTATAAGGATCAAGTTTACAAATGAAATTTATGCAAGGTAAGTGCTCATCCTTGCCATCTATCGAAGACCCAGTAGAACAGTAGAATACTGCATCATTCATATAAATTCTTGGGCTAATTAGTTTGGTTACAAGAACCCTCTTTTTTTTTTTTTTTAACATGTGGAAATCCCCTCGGACCGTCGCACCGAGGCGCAGGTGGTTACAACAACCCTACATTAACCATTTGGATGTGATTTTCCAGGGTTGATCACCTATTGCAAATGTAATAATAAATATATTTAATTAAATTTTCTTTTTCAATTTAAAGGCATAGTTATGAGAATTTTTAACAATTTTGAACATTATATACGTATATACACAACGTTACTTTTGCGAAACCACATGTTACCTCACAAAATATGTATACTGAGCCGATTTTTTGTCTTTGCTCAACCAAATTGTTCAACTTCAAATAAAATATCGACATACTTACTAAAGTGTGTGTCATCATCAACAGCCATTACTAGTCCACTGCTGGTCATAGGCCTCTCCTTAGAAAGGAGGGTTTGGCTTACTATACCATGCTGGCCAGACGGGTTGGTATAGGGTTTGTTTCAAGTTTTCCTTCTCTTTGCAGTGCTGTTGTCCTGCGTAGTTTGCTCCCTTAGTCGGTTCTTACGACACCCACGGGATGAATAGGGGTGATGACATTCCGTATTCTTAATCCGTCACTCCGACACACTAAAGTGTGTGTAAGTTGTATTAACTTATAAGGGGTAGGGAACGCTCGCAGACTCTGTGATAACTCAGCCAAACACGTAATTCAGTACGTGAAGATTAAGATTGTTCCTCTAAAATCCTTAGTTTATAATCATACATTTGCCAGAGATGAAATGATACATAATAAATCATCATTTTCCTGTTTAGCTCAATTTTATTTATGATCGACAGAATATGTAACAGTCAGAAAGAATTGGCTGCTTTCCTTTTCGGCTAATCACCTGCCCGTCGATAATCCTTCTTTAGGAATCTAATCCTTTTCGAGATAGAAGGAAAATCGAGGTACGGAAAACGGATTGTCTTGGATAAGTAAGGAACTGAGACGGCAGTAACTGAAGCAGGATATGGTACAATTATAATAATATATAAAGGTATATATAAAGGTTTGTCTTTTAGTCGATTTAATAACAAGGTATGTTACTCCGCGGGCTATCAATTTCCTTATCTTCTGCCCAATTCAAAGCTGTCTCTGCATTTCCAACTTTTTCGGAGACGAGTACTTCATTGCATTGTTCGTCATGTTGCCTTACACAAAGTGGTTGACAATAGACTGGGTACGTACATATATCTAAATCTGTAAACCGATAACAGATTGTCACGTACACACCTACTGTCTCCCCGCCGACTCTGCTGCCCGTCCGTATTACAGCGATCACCGGAAAAGCAGGAATTCGGGTTAAGTGTACCTTACTGTGCCGTTGGTATTATCACATATGAATACATTTTTTTATTTGACATTGGATACGTTATGGGAAAATAACACAATAGATCGTTGTTCAATTCTGTCATATTGTGTTTACGCTGCCTCCTTCAAGCTAATCTAGGAAGGGATAGACGTATAGTGTATGAAGCATTTGATTTTAAATGAAATATGTACAGAAAATTGTGTATTTGTGCCTTCATGTTGATATTAAGAAGTAAGTATTTTATCAATATTATTTTAGTTTTGAGTTTAAAGAAAGTTTTAAGAAGCGTTAGTTCTTTGCACGATATTTTCAAAATTAACGTTACGGCGAGGTAGAACAACCTTTGTAAAAATACGTTATACCAACCCTTCATATCAGTCAGATGACGCGATAATGGTTTTTTAAGGCAGAAGGTTGTAAGATCCGTCTCAACCTTATAAGATTAGACAGGGCGACGCGAAAGAGGAGGATGCTTTGTCATATCTAAGACATGTAATTATCCGGCCTTTTCACTACGATACACAATGAAAAAACTAGTAGTCATCAATGTTATTTGGATTATCCGAATAACAGTAACTACACGGGATACCCGGATAAATCAGTTGTTCGAACACAGTTACATCTTCCCAAAGAGAGCTCAATTTTAATGGCATCTTAGACTTACTTCATCCCGCTGTCAGTAAAAAATGTTTTGGTATTTTATAACGTTTCCAAATTTTTCAGGTTTAAATACCCATGGTAGGTTTCTGGTGATACCGGAGGACGTCCCAGCTGGTTTGGCGGCTGTTTATGGATTCGCTCAACCGTTGCACAAAGGTAAGTATAAAACGAAAAAAAAAGGTTTATTAGATTCTAATAAACCAGCGGCGTTTCGGCTTTAACAAATACAGAAAACTTATATTCGTAAAATATAATAGTATGGATACTGTTTTCTATATTAAGATGAAACCTAATATGCTGTGGAACAAGCAGGTCCCGTTGTCATTGTCGAAACAGGGCTATCACGCGATTTTGGATCCGGCTTGTCGTGAACAAGTTTTATTACGTGAAAAAAAGTATAAGTAATTTATATTTTCTGGGGGGATGGGAGCGAAGCTGAGCAGGAAGGCTATTCTTAATAATAAAAAAAATATATATAATGAAAACTTGGATTGCATTGCCCGTTTTCGTTAAACACATTAAATACGTTAATTACATACAAGCTGCCGGTTTTTAGATTTTCTTTTTTCTGTCCAAAACATTTCTATCCAGTTGAAAACATACCCATTTATATCTTAGGTAACGACCATCGAATCGGCTTTGGTTTTCGTTTCGGAAACCACGCCGACCTGCAGATACTGTACGAGTTGGGACCTCAAACCGTAACCAAACCCTTGCAAGCGTCGAGTAAGTTGTAAATTTACTTAAGTCTTTTTTTTTTGTTCCAATCAATAGTATTTTTCAAATCTCCAGCGCCATTTTTGTCCCTTTTCTTTATTTTAGTTTCTTTATTTATGAGTAAGGCAGGTAAAAGAAAGAAAATGGGGCTGTAGCCGTGATTCTTGAGCTGGCCGTGCCTAAATCTCCTAATATCTTGTCTATCAAAAACATTAAATCATGTTTGAAGTTAATTTTATTGAATTTTCTCAATAATTCATTAAATAATTCCAATATAAAACAAGTGTTCGATTAAAAATGTTTTACGTAACACGTTCATCTGCGTTTATAAAAATCGGAGCTGATTATTTCTGAAAATTGGTCAAAAACGGTCAGTACTGTTATACAAATAGATTTGGTAATATTTTTTGAACATGCATGCTAGAGTTACGCCCTTTCAGCGATTTTAATGTATTTCGTGTATTTGCACACCCGATGTAATGATAATATGTATTGTATTTCAGAGACCCGTTCAGCTCCATACAGGCAAAGATTCGCGCGCCGACGTCCGATCCTGGATCTATTATTACGAGCTGGTTTTCTCAAGGACACTTCATACGACAACAATGTCATTCATGAGTGTGACGATGAACCTCGGTAGGGAAACAGGCAAGCAAGCAATCAAACGAAACTGACATAATAAAAAAAAAATATCCTATACAAATCTTATTTGTTTTCGTTTTATTCTACACGATATCCCTAGGAAGTGATGTGGGGTCAAAATAAATGTTAGGTTATTCGCAGTTATGAAGTTCTTTTTTTTGTCCTTTTTACCTACTTGTTATGTTTCATCTTGATATATGAAATTAGGAGACACGTTCTTTTCCCATGGCATAATAAGCGTTAATGTCGATTTTGGAACCTTTAAAGCTCACTTCAAACCGTTAAAGCTGTGAATATATAATAAAACACAGAGTTTTTTATTTATTTATTTCTTATAAAAATGCTTGGCTGACTACTGTAGGTACATTGTAATCTAAAACGAGAACTCTGACCAAAAGTACGGCTCCATTTTGACAAATTACGTCAATTCAAAATGGCGAAGCGTGTATATTAAGAAATAATGATTGGCCTTGTTAGCGACTATAATGTATATGTTGAAATATTATATAAAATATTAATTGATTAATATGAAAATATTTCTACAGTTATTTTTTGAAACAATTTTATCTTAAAAATGACAATTACATTCTTAACTAGAAAATGCTTGCTAACTTGGGACGTTCCCTTAACCTAGCAACTGGATTACAACAAATTATGATTAACATTTATTTAACAGTTTCACTCTAATGGAACAAAAATATGTAAAACCAAAGGTCTTATCATTATTTACCAAGTTACTTATACTGTATATAATTGTAATTCCTTTGAAATGTTTTAACGGAGTATTGGAACATCGTTGTCTTAAAATTCTAAGACCTAGGTACCAGGAGTTTAATACTTTGGCACCTGGGATTTAGGTGGACAACAAACGCGATAATGACAAATGGCTTGCATTATTAATATTTAATTCCAAACCTGAAAAACAAAACTCTTAAACTTATTTTGTAAATACTTATTATTCTTTTTTTTTTTGAAGTTTCTGCAGGATATAAAAATATGAATTTTGAACAAAAATGAAGTGAAAATTACTTTACTGATAATTACTTTTCTATTACTGTTTGATTTATGTTTTTTAAACTTTTATTTTCCTATTTGTTTTGTGTTCATTACTTAGTTATTTAAAGCAAAGCAAAATCAAAAAAAAAATGTATTAAAGTTTTGTGTGTACTGAAGGTGAATATTTTTTCTTTGTGAGATATAAATTTATATTTTATCTTAATTGTCTGGTAAAAATGCCCTTAATCGCATAAACTGCATTTGTCGGTTTATAAACCGACAAATGCAGCAAATGCATCGCAATATTATTATGTACGCAAGTCACATCGTTACTAGTGGCGCCCCCTCGCTCGCCTAGAACAAGAGGTTCTGTGTGGAATAAATCTCGACTGTGAACTGCAGAAATATTCAAATTGTAACTAAGAACAAAACTTTAATTTCTTGACTATTTTTTCCATTTGTTGGATATTTGTGACAACATCATTTTGAAACTATGTTTCTATGTAAAGTAGATTGGCCTTGTAACTACATTAATTCCACAAACAATTGATGGAAATCAAGCTCAAAGTATGTAAAAAAACTTCTTGTAATATTAATTCACGATTGGCAATTGAAATTTAGATTAAATTATTTTTCAGCCTAGTAACTATTTAACTTGGTATTATTTGATTCAGATTTGTGAAAGTATATTATTTAAAAAAAAAATTTTGTATACTTATGTATTTTTTGCAGTACACATTGCAGCAAACAGCTAAAAAATAATAAGAAAATTGGTAAAAATTCCTATTGAATACTACTCTTACTTTCTTTCACTTCCATTTAAAATACAACACAAGTTTTTTGAATGCGATATTCTGCTACCGCATATGGACAATGGACGCCTTGATATGAGATTTCGAGTCCTACATAAAAAACCTTCTGCACATATAATAACGTCTGTTATTTATTTACAAAATGATTTCACAATTCCTTTCCAAATCTTCAAATCCATCGTTTACAAGTAGTAAAATTAATATATAAATATATAAAAACAAAACTTGGCTCGCATCAGTAATTAATTACATTTTCAATAAAAATAAAAGATGGAGAGATAAAATAATCATCATCATCATCAACAGCCTTTAACAGTCCACTGCTGGACATAAGCATGTCCTTAGAAAGGAGGTTTTGGCCTACTATGCATTATCCGCATTATCAGAAAATAGGGACTGATGAAAGAACTAAGTGCTTAAAATCATACTCTCATGTCTCATGTCTCTCATTTAAGGTTCCGTTTGATAAAATGGCATGCAAAGTCGTGAAACACAGCACAGGAATAAGTGTGATTAATTAATTTCTTCATTTTACAAACTTATATTTATTTATTCTTAGAGCCCACTAAGGGAGTGAACTGCACAGGACAACAGCATAGATGCAGAAGTTAGATGTTTAGGAATAAATATTCCTAACTGACCAACCAGTTGAACAACTCGGGTGGTCGGTTCGGAAACCCCCGCCTGGTTAGTATAGTATGGTATGGTATAGTAGGCCAAATCCTCCTTTCTAAGGAGTGGCCTATGTAAAGCAGTGGACTATTAAAGGCTGTTGTTGTTGTTGATGATGTTGATGAAACTTTCATTTCGCGTTTAGAAAGATTTGCGACTAATGTTCGAGATAATTATCCCCTCAAGTAGAATTGCAAGAGAAACTTATAATTGCATACCTATATGTCATGGGACGGGATTTTTTTTAAAGTTAGCTTGCTCATCTTATTAATATCTCTAGTTTAACATAGTTGTTAGACACCTATTGCATACATCAATAAAAATAGACTTCGTAGTAATTTTTAATATTCAGTTTAAATAAATATTTTTATGAAATCGAATCTTTAGGAAAAAAAAATCTAAATATCGCCGAGCCAAGTACAATTAAAAACCAAAATAATAAAAAAAAAAACAAAGAAAAAATAAATTCAATATAATTTTATTTCTCCTAAATTTAAAATTAGTGTGCGGTGTTGCTATACAAAAAAAAAAACAATAATACAAAGTCCAGTTACTTAAAAATACAAGAAAAAAGTAAACTTAAGATTATTTATAATAGGTTTAAAATTAGTCTTTTACACAGATGGCAAATGGAACATTAAAAAAAATTAATCTACACTTCATTCTCTGGTACAGTTGTTTACAGTTTACAACAATATGAGTCACAAAGTTATGTACAAATAAAAAAAAACTCAAACTTAGCTGAAACAACAGAGGGTCGACGACGACAGCGTTCGTACTGAACTCTTCGCCAATCGCAATGCGGAAAGCTGTCGTCATCGACTATCGAGGTAATATGAAATAAACTCGAACTACACCCCAGGCTTACTTACAAATTGCGTTTATAATAACTTTAATAGTTGGAAAGATAACATTCAACCTGTTGATTATACGGTGTTTGAAAAGAACATAAGGTTTGTGAGCGACTTTCGATACTGATTTGCAGCGGATGGTTGAATCTACACTTAGAATGATAGATCATATTCAAAAACTAGCTAAACCATTAAAAATTCCAGTTTCAAATAATCAGCTAATTGCAACTAAAAAACTTTATGAAACAAATACCGTCAAAGTGTAACATTTCAGTTTGTGACATTTCCTTAATCCAAAACCTTAATCCAAAACCCTTAAAGGCAATTTTTTAAACAGTGGACAATTTAGCTTCGTTTTCCTTCAATAATTAAGTTGTCATAAAGGTGTTTTTAACATTTTTAACGTAGATTTTAAACATAGTTCCCTACTTCTACAATCAATTGCTTTATACGGCAACACTGGACATCGGTCTATTGGGTAACTCGACGGTTGCAAAAATGACCAAAAACACATATTTACTTCATTGCCACAACGCATCGTGGCAGCGTTTTCATGAGAAACATCGCATAATTTCATGTGTATGTGAGGTAAAATTACACATGAAACATGAAAACATTTGACATTTTGCATTTTTTTACGAGCGTTGCCATATTTACCCGCATATTAAATCACAAAAGATTGAAATACGTTTAATTTTGTTAAAGACGAACAATTAAATGACTAGGTCATAATAACGTTTTGTTAATCATAAATAACTGTTACAATATTTAATTGATATAATGGCTTCCCATCCAATTTAAGGATACATTAACTAATTTCTTCAATACTTAGATACCTTTAATTATCATAATCATAGTATTCATAAGATTCTCGTTAGTTAAATTTTTGAACAAATTTTTATAATTACTTACATACAAATATAAAAAAAAACTGGACAGCCAATTCACAATATACAGATAACATTAATTTTACTAATTATTAATATTTTCTTTACAAAAATTTTGAATTTCACATTAATTTTGATGTCATCGAAATATGTAATAGTTTTTATTTAAAAACTGACGCATATTATAAATAAATAATAGTAGATTCATTGTCTTTTCCGTGGGAATCACTTAAATATGTAATTTTTATCATATTTAAGTTGCTTTTTCCATTTAATCAAAAATAGCAATATCAATGTATCAACAGAGACATACCTTTGAAATCGGCACCTCGGGTAAAAGTTAATTGCCGAAACTACTAACAAAAAAAAAATTACGGACATTTAAGATTCTATAAATGAAGACGCTCACCAAAGAATATAAACTCTTTTTTTATAGTTATGTGACTTTAAAACGTTCAAGTAATTGCTTGCATTTTTCAATTGATCATAATAAGCAATATCCCTTTCGTGCCTGTTATTTGACGGCAATGGGCTCGCCCTTATTACGTAAGGGGGACAAAAATGTTGGCGAAATGTAGGCGTTAATACGCGCCCGGAGCCCAGGCGTGCCCCTAGGGGGAGAAATACCGCTCTGTGTGTTATCCCTTGACACAATGTAATAATATCAGATGGTCTGGTCAGTTTACGTAATTCATTTTATGGAATGTTATTCACGTAAATTTATCTCTTATTAAAGATTCATCTTATCTCACGTAAATATCTTTAATAAATAAGAATTGATGAGTAGAATGTTTCCTCTTTTTCCCTTTTGATGTTTCTTTTGTGTATAAGAAGGATATAAATTATTATTTTTACATATAGTTATCCCATTATTGGGTGTAATTTGTGAAATATTTATTTTCACGGTTTTCATTTTTCAGTAATTACTTTATATTTGGTGGAATTGTTTTTAATAATATTAGATAATAAATAAATGCGTCACAAATGTATTCAAATGCGTTTTCTTTTACGACATTTTTCTAATGAACATGATGATTTTATGACTTCAATATAAGTTTGCTGTTGTGATGATGATGATGATGATTATGATGATTAATAAAAACAATGTCTTTTACATGGGTACTTGGAATGATAAAATAAATGCTCTAAATATATACAGCAGATTACACAGTATTTTATACTTATTCCTTTAAATGTCGTAATTAATTAGAAAGTGGGATCTGAATAAAAATATAAATGGCTATGTGATGCAGAAAATTGCATATTTATTATAAATGGTCTAAATATATGTAATAGACAAATGTAACATAAAAAAAAGAAACCCAAGCAAAAACTTTCAGCAGATGGTTATATCCGACATTCTCACATTTAGCAAATGTGCATGCGTGTCTGTGTGCAGGGTTGGCATGAGACAGGCGGGCTGGTTACAAAAGAACCCAATCAAAACCCTATGCAATATTCCACATTTTTCCCTACCCCAAATAAAATTGGTTAAAAGGTCAGGGAGGTGAAATGATGATATTCGACCTCCAATGTTTTAAAATATGAGAACATTCTACTGTATTACATATTTTAAGCAACTTTAAAATGGTGGTATGTTTAATAGATGAAATAGATTTCATTTCAAATATTGAGATTATTAAGATAAATAAATTGGAATAAATTAAATATAAAGTAGGAGCTTAAGAGAAACCTCATTCACTGTGATGTGACTGATGAAAGAAATGCTCAACACCGGTCTTCTGTGATCATTGTATAAGCCTGCCCATAAGCCCAATTTAATAAAATAAATATATTAACACCTTCACTGCTGCCTATAATATATAAGAAATACCCTTAGACTGCTAAAGAATGTACGTAGTCTGTTTTCAGAACTGGAGTGATCCCTTACAGCAGTGCTAATCGTAGAACAAAAAAAATTATACACTGAAACGTATGTTTTCACACATTGCCGTTACGCTACACAACAGTTGTTTTCAGCACTCTCGTACGGAACACAACGTGTGTGTTATAAGCACTGTTGCATGGAACACAACAGAGGGCCAAGTGCGAGTTTATTCCACATCGACTCGCTGTCGACGGCGAGCGCGTTTAGCGTTGCGATTGGTGGCGATTTTAGTGCGGGCCAATCGTAGCGACGAACGCGGTTACCGTGGCCATCGAGTAGCAGTTGAAATAAACTCGTACTTGGCCCTCAGCTGTGTTGCCAGCACTTGTGGATCGAAAAAATGCCGTTGTGTTTTCAAAACACTGGCGAAGGTTTCTATAAACACAAGGTGTGTGTTGTTAAGCAGTGAAGGTGTGAAAAAGCACTTGTAGAAATTAAATCATTGCATATAAAAAACACGCATGCACAGTTTGCACTCATTCTCACAGCTCAAGTTAACTATAATCCAAAGAGCTCTCCTAAAACAAGCTACAGAAATTGACCGGTAACTTTTTTCATATTAAAAAAGGTTTCGTCAAAATCTGTTTGCCTTACACTTCTATCAGCGCAGCCGTGATGCCGGCCACCTCGTCTAACCTTGCGTAATGGATTACTAGTATTTTTGTACAATTTCCGTTACTAGTAACACCGGTAACTTCACACGGTGAGAAATCGGAAGGTTAGACCGGTCGTCAGACTTTAAACATTCTGACTGGCCCCATCAAACATTCATTCAAATTATCGTATTTAAAAATCACGATAAACAATCATACATAGTGGTGTATTCGATAGAAGAATATAAAGCAGATTTGTCTTAAATAGAAAGCAAAAGAGAGCTTGTATAGAAACGTCGACCTGTGTAAGGTTTTCGACGTCGACAAAGATAATTTCATTACAAAAAACTTAAAAATTTATATATTTTAAGGAATTAGCACAAAATACTGTAACAATCAACCGTGTTTTAACCGACATCAATAAAGGTTGTTCTATAACTTTTTTTGTGTATAAAGTCAAAATAATTAAAATATTGATATTTTATTGGAATTTTCATCTCCACGATGATCCTAAAAAAGTAATGAAAGAACGCAGGAACGCAAACATTAATATCATACCACAATACAAATTCGGAGGATTAACGGGTCCTATCCACCATTCACACTAAACAGTAAATTATTTTTTTTCAGAAATTTGAGAAAATAACTGATTAAAATAGAAAACAATATTACTCACAGATAATTGTAGACGGTTACTTCTTGATTCGTTATTTCAAAATGGCAGCCATTAATGTAATATTTAGGCAGTAAATTGACATTTTAAGATTTCTAACACTTATTAAGAACTTTTTCTACATAATTTAGTCTGATATTATTATAAATATTAAAGTTTTCATACAATAATGGACAATGCGATTGGGAACTAGGTCAGCAGAAAAGTTAAAATAAAAATAGACATATCGAAGTATAACGTTTTAACCCGTTATTACAATAACGTTAAGAATAACGTCTATATCTGTAATGTTAAAAAGTTATTAGAATAATACTGGTTTACATTTAAGTAGTGAATAAGTAGTGTTTGAAAATCTCAATGGTTAAGTGGAGAACAAGACGGTCAAGTCTGTCCATTCTGCTATACGTTCATTTCAGCAATAAATGGTTTCTCAATTGATAACTACATGTCGTTTATGTGCCGAATAATCATATTTTATTTAACTAAATTCAAATATCGTCTATGGTCACCTTATCTTCGTCTTCTGAAATAAATAGTTATTTAGCATCAGCATCGAAACTGTGTTTTGAGTTGTAGCTTTAATAAGCATAATGTGAATATCTATTTGTTGAAATGAAGGGCAAACACAATCTAACGAGTAATGTTTGGTTTACAATGATTTAAAACTGTTTTATTCAAACTGTTATTTCAATCACCTTATCGAGTCGTATCGCATCAGTACGTTACGTTACGTTATCGTTGTTAACGAACTACGATACGTATAAGTTATTTCGGTTCTAAATTGCACTTACACAAAACACTTTTCTGGTTTATTTTTTACACAACAGCAAAAAGCACGTGTAAATGTACAGTGTTCTACACTTTAAAATTTCGTTCACTTGTCCCAATACTAGCTCTCGTTGCCGGGTTCCCGTGTGTTTGGTGGTAAGCTTTGTGGTTGGGAGAATTGGTTCACCATTTTACTTTGCATCATGTTGAGTAGAATGTCGGAGTATTGTTCTATGAGGGACAGCGCGGGGTTACCGGTGTTGGAGGCTTCTGGAAAAATAATACTTGATTTAATATTTTAGGGTATATAAATAAAATATAAAAATAAATCAATAGACATATACCTAATCAGAAATATTAGGTTTGAGCGGGAATCGAACCCGCAATCTGTGTCGTGCAGTAGAATGCTTTATGGCCTTGTCATTTAGGTCGTCAGGGTCCGTTGAAATGGAGAGTGTTAGTGTGTGAACCTTTGGAGACGAGGTGGTCGAGCTTCTGGCGCGTGGTGTCGACGTTGAGGCGGTAGTCCCCGTCGGTGGAGGAGAGGCTGCTGAGCGCGTCGCCGCCGTTCTGCGGCCGCGCCACGGCGCCGCGCAGCACCTTCTGCGTCTCCAGGATGGCCGCCTCCAGGCCTGCAACCGACCCTTACGTTTTATACACCCAGATAAACTTCCAAAACATTGTTAAATAACAGCAGACAAAAAAATCTGTGATGGAACGTCTGGCACATAAGAAACATCGAAATTATTTTGTAGAATAAGGATATAAATGGATACCCAAATTAAGAAAAGAAAATAATAAATAAGCACAATTTTTTTTTTTTAAATTATACAGTGTGTCCCGAAATTCAACGTCCAACGGTGAGGGGATTGTAGGTGAGCGCCTTACCTCTCTGATAAAAATATTTAAAAAAAATCTCAAGTCAATATTTTTAATAAAAACACATCAGTCACATATCAGTCGGTCTGACCCTCCACATTAGATGTTTCCTATCAAAAAAACTTGTCCTCTCCAGAATTATTATAAGTAAGATAAAGTTTAAATATGGTTTAATTTAATAATCTTATAAAGATCAATTCCAAGTCAGTGTTACTCACCGCTGATATCCGCCGCAGCGTTGGGCTCCCTCTGCAGGCTGGTGTAGAGCTGGACTACTTTACACGCCGTCTTGGTCAGCTGCTCCGTCAGCGCTGAACATAGCTGGGAGGAAGATACTGTCCACAGAGAAAGAGAATTTTAATTTATTTTTGAAGGGGAGGGCAAACGGGCAGAGGGGCACCTGGGTTAGGTAAGGTACTACCGCCGCCCTTCAGAACCTCAAGAGACACAAGAGCGTCAGCGCTCTTTGTAACTCCAATCAAATGGCAGGCCGCGGCCCGTCAGACATGATCATCTCGCCTGGTCGGAGGATCCTCCTTTTGTGTCGGAGGAACATGATATCTATTCCTCCGCAAGTGCAACGTTTACGAAATATCAATTTATTATTCTAATTTCCACTGTTCTCATCGAGTAAATAATGTACTGTCCCCGAGAGATAATGGATTGATAGACAAAATTGAGATATTCAGGTAAAATAGGAAAGATATCCAGGATGCGGTAGTGACTTAAAGAAAAATCATAAAAGAAACTTACAATTGGCATCGGCAGGCGGTTCAGGTTTCGCTCTCGGCCTGGTGTTCGCCGTCAACCTGGCTGTTACCTCCCGCGCTTTCGCCGACAGGTCCCTCTCACTGCCACTCCGCCCTAAACAATTAATAATAATAATAACTTATCTGATCCAGACTGCTAATAAACATACTTATATATTTCTAAATACGTACATATGTCCATACTTATATTATAAATGTAAAAGTGAGTTTGTTCGTTTGTATGTTTGTTTGTTACGTTTTCACGCCTAAACCACTAAACCGATTTAAAAAAATATTTTACTAAGAGAAAGCTAAATTATCAGCAAGTAACATAGGCTATTTTTTACTCCGATAACCGACATACTAGGCTAGTTAGGGTATAGATAAATCACACTCAGATACAGAACAATTAATATTCGTGCTCAAGAGATCGAAAGATTCGTTTTTCATCACATTAGACATCAATTCTTTAATTTACCAAGCAGGTATATTTTATAAATTGTGTAACTATACTCTTAAAGTAACAAAGCTAACTAAGGGTTCCTTATTAGGACTACAGAACCTTAAAAAACAGGAGATTCAGTACGTTCAAGAAAACATGTCAACTCAAGTGTAAAAAGTTAAGACATGAAGGTATAGCTTCTTTTTAAAAGACAACTCCCGCACTAGGAACATATCCTATGTCGCGGGGGACTTTACAAACATACATAAAACGGACACAGAGAACACCCTGACTCAGAACAACGATTTGTGTATCACACAAAGTTTTAACTCTCGTAAAGATCGAACCCACGACACTCAGCGCAGTTGGAAGCGGCGAGGTGAACGCCTAAACATCTACTCTCTTCGTGCATTGAATTTGCTATAAGTTAGGAGCAGTGACGGCGTTACACTATTCTACTATGTTCATGAAGTCAAATACAGGCTGTTACGAATGTGAACTTACCAAGTCTACGCTGAGAATGGTCCACGGAGGCGGCTCTCGGTCTTGTGACGTCATTGGTTCCCTCCGCCTCAGAGCTGGACTCCTCGTGAGCTGCCGTCGACAGACTCACTGGTGAAGTGAGGATTAGTTTGCGGTGAGTTATATAGCTTGCGAGTTGTCCAGTGTTATACAATGTTAAGTTTAATATATGTGCGAAATATTGTGCTACAAGACGTTCTGGCTTCAAGTCATTTCTAATTATAAGATCCTGACTTGAATACATACATACCGAATAATCATTTTCTTAAAATATACTCGCAATTTTTAAAAACTTCCAGTTTTTATTCTTTTTTGGAATAGGTAGCAAATGAGCAGACGGGACAATGGATGGTAAGTGACTAACAATGCCTATGGACATTTATGGACTAAGAGAGACACAAGTGTTGAAAAAAAACCTATTCATTATGTGTCATCATCATCATCAACAGCTTTTGATAGTCCACTGCTGGACATAGGCCTCTCCTTAGAAAGGAGGTTTTGGCCTACTATACCACGCTGGCCAGACGGGTAGCTATAGGGTTTGTGTCAAGTTTTCCTTCTTTTTGCAGTGCTGGTGTGATGCGTTGTTTTGCGCCCTTAGTCGGCTCTTACGACACCCACGGGATGAATTGGGGTAGTGACATTCCGTATTCTTAATCCGTCACTACACGGACAAACCTATGACTATATTACTTTTAAAATGTGATTTAGTATTCAGTGAATTTCCAGAACTACCAATGTTATTAAGTATCCTCTAGAATAAGCTGTGTTATGTTCTGTAATCTACATAATAATTATTATGTATTCCTCAAACCTGCGCTATAAGCATTAGCCAGTCCTCGTCTCCTGGCTGTGGTCGAAGCTTGCTTGTTCATCGAAGATATAGTGGGCCTCATGAGACCTTGAGGTCTGGCTGGTTGCTGGCGGGACGGTTGAGGGTCCGACTCGGAATCGCTCTGTGTAAAATAGACATAACTAGATCTATAAAAAGGTCATAAAAAAGAAACCGTATTGTATATGTACTTAAATCCCTATATATACTTTAACCTAAACTTGTTAATATTATAAACTTTGTGAAGATAGATGTATGGATGTCTGTTACCAAATTATGCAAGACCGGCTGAACTGATCTGCATGAAGTATAGTCTAAGTCTAGTCTTTAATTAATAATAGTCTGGAATAGTATTTCACATAGGGTTACTTTTTATTAATAACAAGCCACAGATTGCCTGTGCGTATACAAAATAAAGCAAATTCAAATATTTTGAGATATGCTTAATAATAATAATAAGTTCATACATCTCATACACGCCGTCAGATCCCAAACTATGGTAACCAGACTGTTGATATAAATACATACATATTATAGATAGATTCACCCAGACAAAAAACCAATCACCGTGCTCATCACAAAATTATTTGTCCTGGATGGGAATCGAACCCACGACCTCCAGATTAACAGTCAGGGTCACTAACCCCTGGACCAACAGGCCCGTCATAATAATCATCATTCTCGCTTAAAATGGAATTATTATAGATTGGGTAGCTTTAGGCAGTAAAAAAAAACTAACCTGGTTGAGTACTCCAACGCTAGAACTCCTGGTCATATTCGACTTGTTGTTGTACCTCGGTGCTGGGCGAACGAAGCCACTCGGCGATTTAGTGGAGGACCCGTTCTGAGGGGTCGTGGGTTTGGAGGTGGGACCTGTGTGTCGCGATTGAGTTTTAGAGACAGGTAGAGAGTAATGTGTAAAAGAAAAGAAGATCAATAAAAGTCGAATATTATTCATTAGAAGTAAAAATTAGCAAATACAAATAAAAGCAAAAGTTTAGAATAGATTTAATTTAAAGGAATTTTTGTACCATTTAAATTGATTAACTAATGCTGAACTGAGAAGGAAATATTGAAAGTATTATTTTCATTTGTAGGTCAATTTACAAATAAATAAGAAACTTATCCGAAATACTCCATTGGCACAATAAATTAATTGTATAATATAAATTCACTATACAAAAAACAGTCTCATTATAAATTAAACACAAAAAGCAATGTCCGAATGTTATGCACAAATATATTATTACTATTTTTACAAAACAAAATTCATGCAATAATATAGATATAAGGGTGTGTTGGGTGAGTTCAGTGTGTCGAAGTTCTTCATAATAATGTATATTCCTCTATTCTCATCACATCATATCATCACATCAACAGCCTTTAATAGTCCACTGCTGGACATATGCCTCTCCTTAGAAAGGAGGTTTTGGCCTACTATACCACGCTGGCAAGACGGGTTGGTATAGGGTTTGTGTCAAGTTTTCATTCTCTCTGCAGTGCTGTTGTTCTGCGTAGTTTTCTCCCTTAGTCGGCTTTTACGACAGCCACGGGATGAATAGGGGTGGTGACACTCTGTATTCTTAATCCGTCATCACACTTACCAATTCCTCTAGTACTACCTATAAATTATTTGTTAGTGTGTCCTAAGCACAATAGTGAATCATTCTACCTGGTTTGGATATAATTTCAGCTACAGACATTTATTATTCTTGACCACAAATTCCTAAACTCACATAATTATATTAATAACTTCACGATTCTCACACTCGGCAGTTTCATTTCAAACTATGCAGAGACTGTACTATGGTAACCAGACGACTGAAAACATACTACATAAAGCAGTGAAGTACAAAGCAAGAGCGCTACAAAAGACCACAAATAGTCGAAGTAGCTCTATACAAAGATACCTTATACAAATCCGAAATCCAGACATTTGTCTTCCCATATTCTCTAATAGTAACTCACTCATACTGTTCTAAACTGTATGAGTGAGTTACCGTTCTAAACGTTATAATTCTACCCTCTTTCAAATTCTCTTATAGCCCTATAATTTACCTCTCATAACATCATAAATCCGCCTCATCCTAACTGGTTATTCAACGTCTTTTAAGACTTAAGAAGAATTCTCTTAAATGCACATCCAGGTAATCAATTATCCATCCAATCAACTTTATATTATCTTCTTGTTATTCACCTAATCCCAGATTTACAAACAAACTGTTTATATTTACACATTTACTTTAATGTGAGGGCTAAACCTAAAAGTTTCCAATGTGAGTATAGCAATGTCTACCACCACGTTATCTACAAGGCCCCAATACCAACACCACAGTGTGCGCACCTTGCGGTGTCCTCGGCGAGGGGATTGGCTTGGCGGCTAGATCTGATAGAGAGATCGCGCGCCGCATTCCGGGAGACTCCTCCTCGCGGTCCGAGGCGGACGGTTGCGTTCGGTTCGCTGTGTATCAGTGTTTCATATTGTAAGCATGCGGATAGCAAACTGATAGATATTTATTGTTATATTTCAATCACAATCTTTTTTATTGGATATCATTAAAATCTACAATTACATTGAAATTATATAGTTTTTTTTTCTTTATTTACTTAACTCAGACTGCTATCTCAAAGCATACAAATAAAATATACATAAAATAACCAATATGATAAAACACAACATGCTCTGAAAAAAATCTTTATATTTTATCTATGGGCATGCAATATGAAAAAAAAACAATTTATTCTAAAAATAAGCCATGATTGTGATATGTCGTGAATCAGCCGGTGCTATATCATAATTTAATATATATTTATGTTTTATGTATTTTGAACCTTAACAATGTTATAAAAAGGGGCAAATTCACAAAATATCACACTGATTAATTATAAAATTTTGGACTGACTTATTGGCCTCTAGTGTTTTATAAGTCACATAAAGCCTTTAAATTTTTTTAAACATTATTGTGTTTGTGTATTGTTGTATGTGTTTTTATAAACATTGTTACCCGCGGTTTATTAGATACACTAAATATATTTTAATTCCTTGCTCATCCCAAGGAAACACTACATTTTTTCGAAATAAAATTAATGTTAATCCAGGGTGTCAGTTATTATCACACAAAATTTCATCAAAGTTGGTTAAGTCGTTTGAGCGTGAAAGAGTAACAAAACATACAAACACACACATTCACAAACTTTCGCCTTTACAATATTAGTGTGAAGGCATATAGTCAAAATTCGAGCATCTGCAGGCGCTTGTAACATTTATTATGTGTAAGATTCCGACTCTCGCTTTCATACAATCTGTGCGAGTGATTTTGTAAACAATGACGGAAGTGTAACAGGACGGGAATGTGTAACTCGAGCGCGTAAAATCACATTTGATTTGACCAATGAGCGCTCGTGGTGCTAGATTTGGCTGTTCAGGTGAGATGACAGGTGTTACACATCATATTATGTACTACTGCAAGGCTTCCATGTTTTTTTCACTAACTTTTTTAAACACTCTAATATTTGTCGATTTTTTTATTCTAAAAATATCTAGGCCAATAAAGCAATCCAAAATATAATCACATAACATTTCGCAACTAAAAGGGACCAACGACGTTGTTACATGCGATCCCAACCTTGTTGCGTTGAAAATTTCGATGGCAACACCGGGTTTTGAGCCAATACCCTTTTAGCTAAATAAGAACCCCTAGGCGTTAACATAGGACGTATTTTATTTGGAAAAATACGATTTTCCATGCACAATCTAGGTGTAGGACCCCTTAGGATCTTTTTGAAAGGAGTTTTCGGTCGACTAAAGCCGTAAAAAGATAATCTTTTTGGAGAATTTGTACAACTGGAACTTGTAGTAGATGATTCGTAATTTTCGCTATCTAAATGTACGTCCGTTTTTGGTATAACCATCTCATTGTACACTCTTTGTTTTAAAGACCTCGGTGGTATTACTGTTTCTGTTTGGATAGTGTTATTTAATTTCACATCTTCAGTTGGCTCTACATTACCAGCTTCGTTGGTATTATCTATACCTACTGTAACAAGACCACCTATTTGATCCGAGTCTAAAATGTCAGGTAAAGAACGATTTCTTTTAATTTCTTTGTTGTCTGAAATCGTATCTGTATCCGTATCAGCCTCTTCGACAGTCAAAGATGTGAAGCTAGGCACAGTAGTCTGTTTGGTAGCTAATTTTTCGAATTTTCTAGAAAGCACTTTTACTACGCCTTTTCCGTCATTTATGTTAGCCTTTAGAGGCCTCATTCGCCACTCTTTTAAAATCTTTTCCTGTAACATTTTACGTTCCTCCATTTCAACTAATTTGTTGATAATTTCAATTTTCCTTTCTATGTATTTGTATTTCTTTATTTCTTCAGGTGCTACATTCTCTTTAGTTTCTTGTCTACTGTGACAAGGGCCTACATTATCATTTCTTGTAAGTTTCATATTTAGTTTGTCTTTGGCATTTTTCGCATATAATTTATTGTCTTGTTCCGCATAATAATCTAAAGAATCTTTTGCAAAATCGTTGGCATCTACATCTAGTGAATCCATGCTTACTTGTTTCATTCTTTCCATGCGTTGCATTGCATAAACTTCTAGACTATCCAATTGTATTTCCGATTTATTTTCATTAACATCTTTCTCTTTCACGAAAACATCAAAAGTTTTCTCACTATTATCTAAATTTGAATTTGAATCTTCAGGCCTTTTATTGCTCAAATAGTTTTTGTTATGAAGTCCATCTAATTTCGCTTTATAATGTGAGGATATTGAAGATGTAAGCCCAGTTTTCTCAATTCCAGCTTTTAGTCTATTATTCACTTTGACCGAAGACGTTCGTTTGATTGGTTTCGGTGGTTTATGTGGAACAAACTCCATAGTAATTTTAGTGTTATTATTCTTTTGTCCCGAACCCCTTTCTAAACTTTTAGTAACGTTAGTATATTTGCCACTATTCGCTTTGTCTTTATTTTCTTTGTTCTTGCCTACTTTAGTTTGCGTATTTTTGCGAATCTGTTCTTCGAATTTCTCCAAATTCTTTTGTACATGAGAATTTCGTTTTTCCATTAAATTTTTCAATGGGTTTGGTTTCGATGCCGGCTCTAAGACAACTTCGAAACTACAACTTCTTGACTTGACCATAGCACTATTCTGTTCACATCCTACCATTTCGCTTTTATATTTATTAGAGAACTTTGGTTGTAGAGACTTGCTTGTGTTTGCCATATAATCAGTCTTATCTAACCTTGGTATTTCATCAGTCAGTTTTTTCTCCTTAGTATACTGCTGTATGTTATTTCCGTCGAAATAATACGCAATATTTTTAGCAGGAGGAGTTTGCTTAGATGAAGAATCGTATAAACTTCTAGATCTTGTAACTGTCTTATGTCCATCAGCAGGTACATCGAAGCCGTAAACTTTATTAACAGGCGGTTTCTGGTCTACTTTCGTCATATTGGTATCTCTGTAATTCGGACTAGTTGCTTCGCCAATATAGTTATTGTACATGTAACCGAAATAAGCATTATTTGGGCTAGAACCATAGCTCTTTGACGTGTTATCAAATTCGTAACAGCTTTTACTATTTCGAGGGATACTTGTGTTTTTCTGTGGCTTTTTAGGTTTTGCACCTTCGAATAGCATTTCTAATGGTGCTGACTTCGTGCACTCAGAATCATCAGATAATACGCTTTCTAAAGAATTACAGTTAGTCCTGCATAATTGGTTATCGTTGTCCAAAAAGTCGTCTGACAAAACGGATTCTTGGCTGCAACTGTTTTTCATGTATTTCTTTTGATTTAAAAAGAAACTTGCACTACTGTGCCTGTGATTCTCCAAATAGTCTGTATCGTTTATGTTTTCATAAGAACAGTTTTGCGAATCGTTCAAATTGTATCTGCTATCAAATTTGGCTTGTTGGAATGCGGCTTCATTGCCGTACTTCAAGAATATTTCGTTCGATATACTTGAGCAGTTAGAATTGTCACTCAGAACCGACTCATTTGATCTAGTAACACAGCGTTTTGTTAAAACACTCTGACATCTGTAAAAGTCCGTGTTATACTTAATGGTATCTTCATCGATATCATCAAGGTTTGAAGGCATATTTCGAGGTAAAGTTGAACTTTTCTGGTTCATTATGTAAGCAGGTTTAGCGGGTACTACAGGTTTTTCACTTCCGTGTATTTCATAGTTAGAAACTGCACGTCTTGGCGGATTTTTAGTATGCTTTTTGCATACTTTTTTGGAGTACAGTTTGTTTTTGCAACTAGCATCTTGGCTAAGACTACAATCTTCTAAAGAATCAGATGAAAAATTACCGTCATCTTTCTCTTTAGTAGGTTTAAGATCCAGATCGTGTTCGACGTCAAATTCATCTAAATCTCCGTATTTTTTGGTTATTTCAGCAATCATTTTCTCCGTATCAGACTTTATAGTATCGACGATACTTTTGCCGTTATCTTTAATATTTTTATGGTCAAAACCAACAAAGAAACTTAAAGAATTTCTCTTTTTCGGGTCTAGAGAGTTTGTTTCGGGGTTTTGGGTTTTTTGATTGGCTTTATCAGCCCACTTACACTCTTCAGAAACCGGTGATACTGGACAAGATTTATAATTCTTAAAAATGCTTCGATTAGATGGTTTAGGTACCTTCGGTTTCTCATCATGTTTCGTCAAGTTTAAATGAAAATTTCTTGGTTTAGGTTCTTTGTCGGGAAAAAGACGATCAAATACTTTTGATTGGACAGGTTTCCCCATATCTACAGTGAATGCCATAGTTTGTTTTTGTGGTAACTGTTCTTTAAAGACCATAGGTTTTGTATCGTATGGAACGTAATGGATCTTTTTTTCTTTTTGGGCAGTACTAATGTTCGCATGGGGCGGTACATAGGGAGCAATATTGTCAACATAATCTGGGATAATTTTATGATTTAAATTAGCGGGTATTGCGTAGGGGTTCTTGTTTCGATAGTCTAAATAAGGGTTTAAGCTGTCAAAATAATTGGAGTTTAGGCTATCCAGTGTCTCTTCTGGACACGGGTTTATTCCTGGTAAGCGTAGGGGAAGAATTTGGGTTGCTTATTAGTATTTAGCGATGAATTTTCTTTTCTTATAAACATATATTTTAAATTACGTTTATAAGTTAAGATTTATGAAAACAAATGTTAGTGAATCACACTTTTGTCATAATACAGTCGAATATTTATTTAAACTTAATGAGAATTGGGTAGGTCTTGAAATTATATTTGACTGTAAGTTATAGGAGGCCAACTATTCACTTTTCATGTATGCACTTAGGGGTATGAATTTTGCACGAGAACTACACTTTTAATTCTTATTATATTACGATCCAAGAGTATTCTGCTTTTACGAAAGTAGTTATTATCGCTGAACGATTAAGGATTAAAATTAATATAATAGGTGGAGGTCGGCTTTCAGTCTCAGAATTCCGATTTTTAACGTGGAGCGAGTGTCATGAGACCTCTAAAATCCAAATACTAGTCGATAATAAAATTCTGTAGGCAGACTGTTGTCGGGAATTATTACCAACTACCTGTAACGAATACCACAGATGTTCGTATGACAACCGGGACCGAACGGCTTAGCGTGCTTCCCGAGGCGCGAAGGGGTCTCAATGTGTTAAGAATGGTCACCCATCTATAGACTGACCTGCCTAGGATTGCTTAACTTAGCAAAGTGCTAACCTACACGGTTACACTTTTTCTTATTATTAAATCTTTATCAACAAATGTGGCAAAAGCGGACTTAGACTCTTCAAATTTAATATTCTCACTAACTATAATTCAATAATTAACAAAAGTGTTATGTTAGTGTTTTTACCATTCGAAATGCTTTTAAGAGATTATGCAGCAATTAGTTTCGTTTGATATTGCAGCTACATGATAATTGAATAGTGGACCTCCCGAGTCATAATGAGTAATACAAAGTTAAACTACATACCGTAAGGCCTAGTGTTGGACGGTATGGCCATGGAGACAGGTCGAGTGCGCCGAGAGTTGTCCTTCTCGGGTATGTAGGAGAGGTCCGTTGATGACTGACTGGATTTTAAGTTTGAGCGAAAGGCCACCTGTGGTATAAACAAATAATGTTAAATGTTACATGAAGGTGTTCGAAAACTGTGACTTATCTGTTATTTCAGAATCATTTCGAACTGGGAAAAGCGGAGAAAAATGATAAATTAACAACTCACACTCTCCAACTGTCTTCTAGTCTCCAATATCCTCCTATTGAGTTCTTCTCGTCTCCTTGCAGCGTCGGGGTCTAACATCTTGGAGGGGGTGCGTGGCGCGGGTAAGGGGCGCGCGGGGGGAGGGCCACGTGACAAGTGCTGTGATGACAGAGATGTGTTTCCTGCTAAACATATTATTAATTAGGGTGGTATTATGATCCTCTCTGAAAAACTACTGACTGTACTTTGACGTGACTTCAGTGTGGTGACGGATTAAGAATACGAAGTGTCACCACCCCTATTCATCAAATGAGCCTCGTAAGAGTCGACTAAATGGGCAAACTACGCAGGACAATGGCACTGCAAAGAGAAGGAAACATTGAAACAACCCCTTTACCAAAGCGTAGTATAGTAGGCCAAAACCTCTTTTCTAAGGAGAGGCCTATGTCCAACAGTGAACTATTAAAGGCTGTTGATGTACTTGGACGACAATTGCTGTGTAATTCGGTCGAAACATCGGGTAACCAAAACCAAATGAACCTTGTAATTATTGTTCCTAATACATTACAGGAACCTTGTAACAATGCGTGCTGTTTTGAGAAATATGTGCTTTTTGCATCACGCCCTTAATTCAGCTTATTATTTCGATCCAGGTTAGAATGATTATCCGTATAGTTACCAGCGGTAAGGGTAGCGTCCAAGTCGGCTCCGCTGAGGCTGTCGAAGGCGGACTTGATGTACTGCTCCCGGCGGCCCGCCGTGTCGATGGACTCGCACGAGCCTGACAGCGGGTTGCGCTCCGCGTTGTCGCCCGACGGAGTCGACACCTGCCGAGTTGTGTACACACTCTTAACAAGGTCACTTAATTAGTTGGTCACATCATGATCATCAGTCTACTGTCTGCAATCCGCATCCATCCGCTGCCAGCCATTTTCCGCAAGTCGTTGGTCCATCGTGCCAAGTTCGTGTAGGGTGTGTATAAAATATTTTGTGATTTATATTTTTTTCTATGGTATCGGGGGTTTATGGTAGCTTATTCATTCAGTTCAAATAGAAAAAAATCGTTTCCCTTAATATGGTACCTCGTCATCATCCGAGTCATGCCCCGAGCCGCTCAGCGAGGCCTGCGGAGGGATGTCGAGGCGCGTGTCGGCCGTCCAGCGCTTGGAGCGCCGCATCGACTGCCGCAACTCCTCCGCGTCCATTGCGTTCACCATGAACTCTCTGTAATAATACACTTATAGTTGACTATGACTGCCCAAGACAAATAAACTGTGTGATAAGCACGATCATTTGTTCTGTGTCTGGGTGTAATTTATCTATTATGAATACATATGTATTTAAAACTAGCTGGTACCCGCAACTTCGTTTGCGTGGAATTTGAAAGGCTTATAGGGTTTTTCTAAGAAGATAAATAGCCTAATTTACTCCTTATATAGACAGCTACCTGGTAGTAAAATATTATCAAAATCGGTAAAGCTATTTAGAATATTACCCGGAACAAAAATTTAATATATTAAAAAAATATTTAAAGCGGTTTTTAGGCATATGTATCGTTCAAATAATCGTGTAAGCATGAAAAAAACCTATTATTTTGACATTACAAACAGACACGTAAATTTATATGTATGTACGTAGAAAGTGAACGTACGTGTGAAGTTATTATTATTAAAAAAACTCTATTCCGTAATTCGAGCAAACGTCTGCTGTAGTATATTTCCTGCTAATAATCAACTTACCCTGGAGTATCATCATCATTATTGCCAGGATAATACGTGGTCCTGTTTCCCCTATCAGAAGAAGATGTCCTCTCTCCATCCGATATGTCTTCGATGTCTCCATCATGTTCTGTCGACTCCTGATCCTGCAAAGATGACATGACGAGAGAACCTCAACGTTATTGTTAAAACAATTTAAGTTTTGATAACTATCCGTTGGCGGACATTTTATTCTTTTTCTTTAAAAAAAGTAATATGATGCATTAAAAACCTGAAAGTAACGTTATTAGGTTTGGCGAATACTTAATTACAGGAAAAAATATTTAATAAACAAAAAATAAATAAAAAAAAACAAATCGCACCTCGTACTTAAAACTGCCGAGCGACGAATCGTCGGTGTGATGTCGTGTCCGCGTCTCAGTCGTGCGACTTTGCGACAAATTAAGCGTCACCTAACCACCACAACATAAACACATACATATATTGTTGATGCAAAATTTTGCAACATAAATAAAAATCAACAAATATGGGCATTGCATTTTGGACTTTATTTTACAAGAAGTCTCTATGACACAGATATGAGTCAATTGGAATCAAAATTGATTAAATGCAAATTAGTTTAAATTATTTTTCGTGTGTCAGGCCGATTCTCAATCGTTCCTATGTTGGCTTGGTAATTCGGTTTAAGACAAAAATAGTCTAAAAAATACAATGGAAAATCCATTGTTAATAGATTATCGTAATATAAAAAGAAATAATTATGAAGTATTTTTAAGCTTGGCTAATTTAATTAGAATGTCATGACATTTTTTTAACCCACTTTTACATTATTACTTATATATTGATTATACCCGTAAAAAGGGGTCCTCAGAAATAATAAAATATTTTTATAATATGAATAATTACCTCATGCCATAAAAATATTTTAAATTAAAATTAATATATTGCTACCACATCGACCTTAAAAACTAGAACGAATAAAGGAGAATGAAAGTTCAATACCCAAATCACAGAGCTTGAAAAAAAACAAAAAAACATTAAAAAATAATACAAGCAAAACACATGCGACGAAAATAATTATACTAACATGCAACTTACACATATATAACATTATACAACCTGATTTCAAAGTTATTATTCCATATAAAATAGTAGAAATCAGCCTGTATAATAATTATGAAAATTGTACTTTATATATACTCGTAGGATTGAGTGGTATTCATACACTTAATTAATCATCAAAGGTATTTCGGGAATGCCCCACTATCAAATCGAGAACGATTCACTCCATGACAGAGGACCCCCGTCGGTTTCGAGTCGACTACCACCGATATACACATATGAGTAAAACAATACATCCTTTATCAAAATGAATACCGCTCAAGATATTTGTTGATCTAATACATATCACAAATAATAATCATGCTTAATTTAACGTAGAAAGCTCAGAGATAGGAAAGAAAGGTTCAGAAATCAAATAAGGGAACCTATACTACGTGACCCAATTATTACATTTTTAATCCCCTCGACTAGTTTTGACTTAGTAGTTCAGAAATACGGTATTAAATCATTCTCAAAATCAGAATATTTTTGTCTTTAGTGCTATATATAATAAAATATAAATATAATAATATTTAATAATAATAATTTATTGAAAAGCTCTTCACAAGTTTTATACAATGGCAGAAGTATTTGAAATCGAAGACATTCTATTACATGTTACAACGAGTGATGGGCGTGTCTACAGCCGAACTAGTTTATAAACCTGTATCTCAGCATGCAGCGTCACCCCTTTTAAGCACTATGTTACAAAAATGACAGAGCAATGGCAAATATTAATTTTAGAGAAGACCAAACCATTAGTGAATTAAGTGTATGTGTACATATGTGTGTGTGACCCAATCACATATTTGATCAACATTCAATAACCATTAGGTTTTCAGTTTCGTCATAAGACAGATTCTGCAAATAGGCATACATTTTTCTCTTCTACTCCACTTTACTAAGATAATATATGTTTTCCGTTTTATTCATTTTATTACTTTATCATAAAATCAATCTTTTAGATTGGACCTAAAAATACCATATTTTTTATGGTGAAAGATGTTCTTGAAGAGGGTAAGCGTATAGCTACATCATAAAATACGTTTAGTATTATCTGCATTACAATTAGTTTCCCGGTGTTGTCTAAGTATAATACTTAGCACAAATAATTGCCGAACAGTGAGAACCTCACAATATTGATACAATAGGTTGGCGGTATATAGAGTCGGTTTGAAAGTGCACACTTTGAACATACCTCTTTGTGCTACTTCTAAACTCTTAATTATTTACAAGCACCACCCCAGGAAGAGATACAATAACTAAGGCTGGCAACGCGCTTGTGCCTCCTGAGTTACAGGCGTTCATGGGCGGCGGTAGTCGCTTTCCATCAGGTGACCCGTCTGCTCGTTTGTCCCCTATTTCATAAAAAAAAAAACTAATTATGGACTGACAAAGAGCTAAGTATATCTGTTTCAGCAGTACCGGCTCAGTCAAACGACGCAAGTTCTTGAAAATTAATATGAGTTTTCTAACTCTTGACCTCAGGTGCTTTATATGTGACCCTGATCTATAATGATACCCAAATATTTCCAATGCGTTACATTTTTCTTTATAGTTTTTTTTTTAATCTTTTTCTATTTCTATGTAGTTTATATAATTATATATAATTATATTTAGTAGTTTATATAATTATATATAAGTGCGACATTTCCCTAGAGGATAATGACTACTTGACCAAAACCAAAGCACTCCCCCGCCCCAGTGACCAAGCGTGCTATTTTGGACACCCCCCTGAACGGGTCACGTAGTATGGGTAGGCCCCCTAAATATGCAATGAGTTTTTCATGTAAAGCATCGATAACATGCTGGATATACGCACAATCCCGATGTCTATACTAGTATTTACTTTAAGTAGGTATATATTCTATATTATATCGTGGCCATATCTTAAATTTGATTCCTACATTGATTTGTTCAACCATTTCATGATAATTTAATCTTTTATCACATTGTCTAATGGTCTTACCTAATTTTTATTACAAGAATTGACCTTCAGATGAAGAAATAATAAGTGTTACTTTTCTTTTGCTGAAGTTTCTTGATTATTTAGAATTTTTATTAAAACCTTTTGTTAAAACCTAAAGGCTCTAGATTAATTATATGGTCAAACCTGACTTAACGTATCCTCAAATGTTGATATTATTTTATAGGATAGTCAGTTTTAGCTGACTGCAAGGGTAGCGAAGTGGTACTAGTCTACTGCGCTGAGTGTTGTGGGTTCGATCTACATATGGGAAAACACTTGTGTGATCCACTAACTGTTGTTCTGAGTCTGGGTGTTCTTTGTGTTTGTTTCATGTATGTTTGTAAAGTCTTGTCTTTTCAAAAAACATATTGCTGGCTATACAATAAACTATGATCATTTCATCAACTGGTTTGATACATCATGTAAAGGTAAATTCCAAGATCCTGGCCACGACATTAATATATATCAAATGTCAAATTATACAAGCATGCTGTCAATACAATGGTTATGAGATGATGCAACATACAAAGCATGGAGTGTATTATCTTATATTAACCATTTTTATCGTGAAGGTATCTGTTAAATTAATAATAAACAAAATATTTTTTTGAAATTTAACAGGTATTAAACGTTTATTATTAAATGGCGATTACCGCTAAAATTGTTTGTAACATGTAATAATAAATTGTTTTTGATTGATAAAAATGTAGTTTTCATTTTAAATATTTTAGATTACTTTAGGTGTAGAGTTTAATAAATTTTTAAACAAAATAAATCTTTTGGTGGTGTAATGTCTGCAATAAATAAATTACGAAAAAAAAACAACGACTTGACAGAAAGTTCTGATTCCTTATTTTAATGCATTATTTTAAGATACCAATTGCCAAGTAAATTTTAAAACCGACACATGCTCACGATCAATTTCATTGACATAATCGTTGCATAAATAATACAAATATCTCGTTTTGTTTTTTAAGTTTCGTGCATACAATGGAACGTAACGTCACAAAAGCTACATATCATGAACAGAACATAGCATGATAACAGAAAAAAAAAATTGAAAAAAAAACCTTGTTCTTGTTTATTGTAGGCGACAAGGCGAATAAATCGTACGTTCGCGTGAAGGTCGTGTCGAAGTGCTTGAACAACGCCTCTATTCTCGGCAACTGGGATATGTTCAGCGACTTCGGCCTCTACGCCACCCAAACCAAGTGTAAAACGGTTTTGATACTTTAATGCTCCCCGTAACACTGTGAATGGCTTAGTTTTTTTTCTAATAATAGACTAGAAGTAATAGTGTTGCCAGGTAACAAAAGAATCAGAATGTTTTTTATTCTTGATCAAAGCCTGGCAAATTCTGTATAATGACCGATTTCTTAATTCGCCATTACCAAATTGAAGACGTAAAAACAGATTAACCCTCTGTAAATATCTAGGCTCATTTTAAGTTATTTACATACTGTAAACTGCAATTTTTTAAATTCCAAATTCGTAAAAAAATAAAGCACTTATCCAAACTTTATTTTTATAAATAGAAATAGGTTTAGTAAACAAAAAAAAAGACACAAAAGGAACACTAGTGGAAATAAAATATATATTTTAGTGTGTACCCATGTCACAACAAGTTCTTTAGTAGACAAATAAAAATAAAACTCAAAAAATTAAACCATTCACAAAAATGAAAAAAATAGTCAACACAAATTTAAGTAAAATAAGGCATAAAAAATAAAGTGTAGAAATGTAATGAAGTTTGATGTTTAAATAAGATATAAATGATAACAGGTATTAAAAACTCAACAATGTAAAGAAAGAATTATATGTTTATAAACTACAAGAAAATATCCCCAAAATAATGTAAGCAGAGATGTATTTGTCATAATATATGTTTATAATGTGGGTAATAAATAGTGATGAGAGTTCACCGATATTGATAACTCAGTAAAGCAGTCTCCCGCATTATAAACAAATATATTATGACGTACACTCACATTTTCGCAACTATAATTTTGTCCCTCTCACATAATAGCGATAGACTTTGAGAAGTATAGTCCATTCGGTCAGGGGGCGGAGCTTGATCGATGCGTCACTATTTTCTTAACGCGAATGGACTATCGAGAGGCTAGAGACTATCGGGAAATTTCAGAATATATTGAAAGGAAATGGCTGCTCAGGAGGGAAGGCAAATTAAATTGATATTGCCTATCTCTCAACTGGTATCATACAAATAACAGTAATACACAATAACTATGCCCAAAACACGAACATTTTAAATGAAATACAAAAAGGGTTGGACATCAAACTTCACCACATTCCAACATACAACATTAATGAACAGATCACCAGAGGTTTCCAAAACCAACACCTTACCTTCACCTCATGAATCGTTAGACAAACAATGTTATTTACTTGTACACATTGGATATTTTATAACTTTGATCTAAAACACTAAAATAATTAAAAATGTTACATCACGTATTGTGATCACAAATAATGTAGTATTTTTGACCTGATTGCAATACCTGTGTCGTTGCAGATACTTACAGGTACCTACCACCAAGAAATTATCTTCAGGCGCCTGTTTACCAATACGGTAGGTAACAATTTAGACTGTATCTATTTAGTTTTTTTATGAAGACTATTAGTCAACAGTCTTAGTTTTGTCATACTCATCAAAAATGTAATAAAATATCCAACATGTAACTAACATACAAAACTATTGGCTGTATTGAAATGTCCAGACTTAAAACTGCAAACTGCAAATAAATATCACTAATTGCAGAGTGTATAATTATGTTAATTTATTAAGAATTATATGTGAAATATTTCTTTTCTTCTTTTCAAATGTAACTTACTTATGTAAATAGTCTTAAGCTTTTAATACATAATCATGTACATTTTTTTAATTTTGACTTATTTAATAAGAAAATATATTAAAATCAGTGATAGACAGTTTAATATATTATCTGGTAACGAGGTTAAATTACTGGTATTTAGCCACAAAACATTTATATACTACAAAATATATTTATGGCAATTTAAATAAAACTGTCAAATTACAAGTAATTAATCAATTAACATTTAATCATATTAGGCTAATGGTCAGTTTGAATTAAATAATACTAGAATAGAAAAACTACGATATCATGTTTAGTAACTGATCAACATTTCAACACACTCAACATCAACAATAAACATTTAAAACTAGACTAACGACATCCTTGTCTATCGTACAGACACAAAGACAACGTGTCTTACTATAAAATCCTTCACTATCGACGTCTCATTTACACACATACGTTGACTGACCTGTTTAACGGTTGTCTCTTTCCGTTTCTCTATATACCGTGTGTCCGTGCCACTGTCGAGGGAGCTGTCTTTGGAGCCGTCTGAGTCGCCGCGCTTTTCTGTAAAAAGTACCATATTGTTGTAGAGTATATTCTAAAAGGCATATGTGCGCCCATCATAATTATCGTAGAAGTAAAGAGATGTGGCAAACGAAATATTTGATCAGGTTTACATTCTTATGTTATTCTGGTAAGTAGTATATTATTTTACATTTTTATGATTTTTCACTCATACATTCGTCATCATCATCATCAACAGCCTATAATAGTCCACTGCTAGACATAGGCCTCTCCTTAGAAAGGAGGTTTAGGCCTACTATACCACACTGACCAGGCGGGTTGGTATAGGGTTTGTTTCAAGTTTTCCTTCTTTTTGCAGTGCTGTTGTTCTATGCAGTTTGTTCCCTTAGTCGGCTCTTACGACACCCACGGGATGAAGAGGGGTGGTGACATTCCGTATTCTTAATCCGTCACAATACGGACAACATTTGTAGTTTGCGTTATTAGTTTAATTTTTTGTATTTCAATAAAATCACTGGTACTTTGTACCACACTTTGTCGTGTATATGCAAATAAGTCTTTAGTTGAAATTAATGGAATTCCCGTTCAAAAAGTCAACTCATATATAGTTTAGTTTAGTCATTGAAAGAGGGTTCTGGCTTCCCGATAACAGTTAGTATAACTCATACTATGTGACTGATCTTCACAAGATATTTTATTACTTACAATCCTGAACTTATCTGAGTGAGTAATATTTAATTCCTTTCAATGCCTTTTTTATTTACTGATCTTTCCTACAATGTCAATTTACAGTATTTATTTTTAACGTTAAATTCTTTTCCTTCCTCATAAATTGGGCTTTTAAGAAAAAATCTTTGTTTTTTGTATTAATAAGTTGATATCATATGAATTCATCCCCTAGTAACGTTATCATCAAGGATACGATGAGCTCGTTCCCGTTGTCATGATGTATCATTAGTAGTATAGAATGAAGTAGAACAGCGTGGTACCGACCGTGGCTGGGCTGTATCCGCTGCGCCCACTTGCCCCTGGCGGGCGGTTGCGGGGCGGGCTCTGCGGCGAGCGCGTCGTCGCCCAGGCTCTTCTTGGCCCACGTGGGCAGCCGACCGATGCGGAGCCTGCAACAGTTATACCATACTCCATCATATATTATATCGGGGTACATCTGTGAGGAGACCTTATGGTCGTCATAGTAGTCAATTTTAGCTAAAGACTCGAACAAAATCACAATATGAACTCAGGTACTCTAAACAGAATGAAGCAATAATCCGTATGGAATTAATAATCAAATCAAATCAAACTTTATTTGTTTAGAATGCAGGTGAAAATACAAATTAAATAAAATTAGGATATAAAACCTTGTGCGTCAATAAAATTATAATTATAAATAATAAAATGGAAAACTTTGTTTGTCAAAATAACCACTAAATGTCAAATAATATGTCATTAAAAAAATAATGATAATATAATAATTCAAAAGCATCATTTTAATAGTCTGTTAGGCAGTAATAACATTTTTCTACCAGGAAGTCAATAACTTATTTTTAATAATCTATAGAATATACATAAAGTGGTTTGAAGTAGGTAATAATGTTGTTTGAGATTATTAGTGACCAAACTCTCACTTCTTAAAAAGTATTTATTTAAAAAAGGCAAGTCACAATAAAATATCAAAACATGTGTAGAAACCTGTGAGATATTTAATAATTAAAGTGACGGCTTCTATCTCTACCTACCGCAAAAAAAAAGATGTAGGTTTATGTAAATATATTTTGAACTCACGTATAATCTGGTACCACAGGCGGAGTGAACTTGTTCTCTTCGTACGGAAGCTCCCGCGGAGGAGAACCGAAGTGAGAATCACTCTCACTGTCCAGTCCTGACATACCATTGCTTGCTGGTACTTTTCTGTAATATTCATTCAAAAATATAAGTGATTGAACAAATTACAAATGTCTATTACATTTAATGTCCGTGTAGTGACGGATTAAGAATACGGAATGTCACTACCCCAATTCATCCCGTGGGTGTCGTAAGAACCGACTAAGGGCGCAAAACAACGCAGGACACCAGTACTGCAAAAAGAAGGAAAACTTGACCCAAACTCTATACCAACCCGTCTGGCCAGCGTGGTATAGTAGGCCGGAACCTCCTTTCTAAGGAGAGGCCTATGTCCAGCAGTGGACTATTAAAGGCTGTTGATGCGATGATGCGATTACATTTAATATCTGCTGCATTAAATACGATGGCTTTCAAAATTACTGATTATATGTAATACTGTGACATTTTTGCATGCATTTTTAAATAAGCTTGTGGAATAAGTTTTTACCAACAGATAAAAATATCAGATAAAACACTTTTTTTTTCACATTCGGATTATCATATTTTGCACTGAGCGGGAATCAAACCCTATGGTATCCTCAACGTGGCAGTCTACCAGTGCACCAAATATATCAAAAATAATACGAAATTGATTATTTAAATACTTATATGCTACTTTAGTGATGTAAAAAATCAATTAAAACAATACTCACTTCCCCTGCCGTATGGCCTGCTGCGCCAACCTGGCTCTCATAGTGACGACCATGTCGTGTGGGACTCGCCACACGAAGATACAACCGTCGCCCGACGCTGAGATCAGGTGCTGGCAGTCTGGGGTGAACCTGGAACAGTTTCATATCTACATATAACTGATATTATTAAGGGCATTTTCTGACTATATTTGAAAATAATAAACAACTATGAGAAATGGGTGATCGCAATATACTGATAGTTAAAGGTTTTTTAAAACACCTTATAAAGCCCATTTTATAAATCATTCACAAAATCTTTATACGGTCAGTATGTAAATGAAAAGATGAATTTTGTTTACTAATAACAATATAACGTAAATCTTTAATTATTTACTCCATATTATACTGCACATTATCTGTATGAAAATTTTTAAAGTTCATAAGATAGGTAAGCAAGTGGCGGGCTGTTGTATCTGTCTCACCTAAAGGGAGACTTTATGTATCTATACTTATATTTATTTAACAATTCTTGCACTTGTGTGAGTATTTATGTCACACATATATGTGAAATACATACTTCAGTCCAGTGACGATCTCTGAGTGCCCGTACATGGTCGCCATACACTCCCCGGAGTAGTAGTCGTACACGCTCAATATCTTATCCGTGCTGGACGTCGCGAGGTAGATCCCGCTGTTGTCCAGCGCCACCTGGAAATAGTTGCATATGATTTGTTGTCGTGTTATCAGTTTTTACTTGAGAAACGTTTAATAATTCTAAAAAATGGTCACTTTTATCGGAAACTACTGCAATCAGCTTAGTATTTTTAATGGAATGAAGGGCAGACTGACTGAGTGACTATAGTCGCTCATAGATATCTGAGACTGTAAATCTGCCGCCCTTTCAGCCTTCCCCCAGAATTAGGCAGGGGGAGAGGGACTATTAAGCCTCCGTAACCTCAATCACTCGGTGAAAAGCAACAAAGGGATTGCTTGAATAACGTTAATAGCTTATTTATAAGCTAAATGATAATAACACATTTAAAAGTGTAACCTTGATGAGTGTTCCGTCTTCGGCGGTGGTTCCGCGGAAGGTCTTGGTGTGGCGGCCGTGCGCCGCGCTATACACGCGCACGTTGCGATCCTGCAATACAAGCATTTTAATTGTTCATAATACTCTTAATTTAAATGATAATGACACTTGTTCAGACACAATAAAGTCCAAATTCAGATACAACAGTGCTAATCGCCTACAGTTATGTTCACTTTATGTAATATTTATGGTTGCAAAGTTGAGAGATAAAAGTTAAAAAGTCACCTACAATACTTTATCAGTTCGAAAACAGTAAGATATCTACAATAGTTATTCTTTTTATTTTTACTTAGGGTAATAAAAGGAAACAAGTACTTAACCAATGAAATAACTTAAAATGGTTATTTCGTTGCGTTGTATGCCGTGGAAGCGGATACGAAGCGGATATGAAGAGTATACCAGCTAAATCCCTCTAAAACCTGCTTAAAGACCTTAGATTTCCAAGAGCTTCAGTAAGCTCTTTTCTCGCTCGTATCAAATATGGTTAAGTAGAGGGGGTAACACAGCAGACAGTGGAGGTGAGCGCTAACGCGTCCCAAGGAGTACTCCCTAAACCTACTCCTGGCAATTCCCAGGCCCTGACGAAGTCGCATGTGTTGCCCCCATCTATCGCGTGATAGATGGGGGCAACACACGCGAGGGACCCGCATGGTAAATCCATGGAACACTAAAAAATAGATCATTATATAAAAAAAAATGTGTCTCACCTGACAAGCGGTGAGAATATGTCTGCCTCCAGCGTCAACTTCCATGTCATAGAGCGTAGTTCTTCCAGAGACGTTTTGACCTCGAGCGAACTGATAACTGCCGTCTTGTGTCTGCAAAACCACACCCATTAATATAATTACATTAAAATATCAAGTTAATTAATTTGGTTGTAAAATAATAATAAATACTTCATGTATTATAAACGTAAAACTTTGGTGAAAACGTTAGTAAATAAAAAAAAGCGACGGGTTGCACTCCGGGAGTGCCGGCAGAAGTGAAAACTTGAATATTAACGTTGTGCATTTTTGATATTTTGGAATGGTTAGGGAATAATTTTGCACGAATTGCTTTAATTATCGGTATAAAAGTTCTATCATTTATGTGGTAAAATACAATATTTATTTATTGCGCTATTGTATACAAACATGACAATTTATATTACATTAAAAAGTTTATCTCTCAGAAAATAGAACATTCGCGCAAGCGCCCTGCGCCGCCTAAACGAAACAGCAGGCGCAGGCATACATTTTCGCCGCGCCGTAGAAAGAGAGGGGGATACTTCCTCTCCTACGCCGCGCCGGCTGTCGACGCTCCATCCGTCTTACGAATTTTCGATCAGGGTCACGTGTCCTGACGCGAGTTTAACATGTTTTACCCATTACAAAAAAAAAGTGTACAACGCCGCTAAAGAAGTTTTCACTTCAAAAATAAGAAATGCACCGATTGCGAAAGGTAGACACCGGGCGAAAAGTATCTCCTTTTTTTGAAGTTGGTTAAAAAATAATTTTATTTCAAAAATTATATATATAGATGTATTTTGTTTATATAAAATATTGGCGGTGGTATTTGTTTATGTAAAATATTGGTATTATACCAACTAAATGTACTGCTCAATGAGTCAGCGAGGTTTTGGAGAAAATGAAAAAAATATCGTTTTATTTTTTATTTTTTGGTTGATATTCCAAAAACTGCTAAAGTGGTTTCGATAAAATTTAAGTGGGATCCTTTTAAACCAAAAAAATAATGGAATAGTGTAATATCTGATTTTCCACTGGCCATCTAACTGCATACTTTAACACCTTTCATTGGCTAAAACGTACCCACAATCACTTTTATAGATTGCACAAAAGCGAGATGAAAGATGAGATATAGGTATTATCAATAAAAATCTCACCGTTCTCAGTTGTCTAAAGAGTATTGTCTTATCAGCGCCGCATGAGACCATCTGTAGACCGCCGCCCGCGTTCAGGAACCTCACCGCCGTGATAGAGGACGAGTGATCATCTAACGTTTGAAGGATTTGATAACCCTGGGGATGGGAGATATGGTTTGTATTATTAATAACATTTTATTATAAACAACAACTTTATTAATAATCAAATTGAATAAAGTCTAGGAACTTGTTTTAAATTTTTTATAAATAGAAATTAACATCACGTTAAAGTGAATTTTTTTTCACATAAAGGTGGTAATAAATAAATGTAAGTATAATTTACATCATGAAATATTCACAGGTTCATTTATATTATAAATGTGTCTATATTTATTTCATAATTTTTAATTTCTTTTAAAAAGATATGTTTTAAAATTATTATTATAGATTGCCTTTCACTGAGAAGGTCATTGTGGTTATTAATATGATGCATGTTTTATCTAAAATAGTAAGCTCATAACAATAATTATTTCGTTATATTTCAACATAATCATTTGGTGATAATAGTAGTGTTTCTGTGGTATCTACGTTTATTTAATTCCGGACAAAACTAGTTTGTCCTGAGGTACATTCCAGGCGAAACTAGTTTGTCCTGGCGCATGAGTCAGGCTAAGCTAGTTCTGGCGGACGGTAGTTACCCGGTCGACGTGGAAGACGTGTATGAGGCGGTCGCGCGAGGCGGAGGCGAGCAGGCGCGGGCGCGCGGCGTACTCCAGACACAGCACCTCGGCGTCGTGCGCCTCCAGCGTGTGCAGCAGCGCGCCGCCGCTCGAGTGCACCCACACGTTGCCGGCGCGGTCGCCCGACGCGATGTGCTGCCCGTCCGGCGACACGCGCACGCACCTGCCGCGCACATATGTGGTAACTACACGACCGATCGCTCCTATTCCTCCCCGATCTAACCGTTTAAACAATATCTGTTGCCCACTTTTTTTTATAGCATAAGGAGCAAACGAGCTGAGGTGTCGACTGATAGGAAGTGACTACCGCACCTCGAGGACACTCACGTCTCAAGTCCTTTTAAACCCCTCTGCACCCCACAGAATCAGGCAGGAAAGGAGGTTTAAGGTAGCATTCGGTTCTTAGCGAAGGCAACGCACAACCGCGACAAACGACCATGGTCGCGTAGTCAAATGGTGGCAATCGCACGTCGCGGTCACTAAGAACCGAATACTACCTTTAGGCTCCGGTAACCTCACTCACTCTGTTAAAAACAGCAAACGAAATACTCAGCGCCGATTTTCTGTGAGACCGTGGTATCAGCTCGGCAGAGCCGATCCACCTTCTTCCTTCTTTTTCACATCACACATCAACAGCCTTAAATAGTCCACTGTTGGACATAGGCCTCTCCTTAGAAAGAAGGTTTTGGCCTACTATACCACGCTGGCCAGACGGATTGGTATAGGGTTTGTGTCAAGTTGTCCTTCTCTCTGCAGTGCTGTTGTTCTGCTTAGTTTTTTCCCTTAGTCGGCTCTTACGACACCCACGGGATGAATAGGGGTGGTGACACTCTGTATTCTTAATCCGTCACCACACGGTCCTTCTTTTTAATATACTCCATATATATACATCTAATCCCTAAAGTGTGGGAACGATGACAATAGACTTTACCTCCTATTACGCCAATAAGGCTAAAATTATAGCTGAACGTACTTGATAAAACCCTTTAACAAATACTCGAAACTTGAACCATAAACAATACTCACCTAACACCAGTTTTATCATCATAGCTCTTGGACTTGTCCTTATCATTTGTCGCTGTTAAGTCCACATCCTTCAAGAACTTCAACTCCGAATCAATATACAGTATTTTACTTAACTCCTGCAAACATAAAAAATACATTCTATATTAAATCTTCCTTTACATCAATTGATTTTGTATCACTACACTTTTAATACGTATAGTCTATACGAAAAATTACGTGTGCACTGGCATCCTACAGCTTCCACCCCTTCTTCTTTCACAACAAAATAATCTCTAGTACCTTAATATAAGATACAAAATAAATAACACACAGGTGCACGATTTTCTTAAGCCACATGGCCCTAATATCTAATTTGCACTTAATTGTACTGTTGAGAAAGCCGCTATTAGATAAAAATGTTCCACTATTCATCAACTGTTTCTTTAGTTTTTTTAAATAGCTTTTGTTTGCTTTAAAGTTCTCATTAAACATTTTTTTTTTACTTTGAGTACTTTTATAGCTAATATCACGTGATTGTAAACGCCAATCACCTTTTTCTAGACAGTCCATTTTTTTTTTTTTGTTTATTAAATGCACAAAACACATTACAATCAATTGAAACATAAATCATAAATACATCGTTTAGATCTGGATCGTACCGTAACTCAAATGTACACAAAGAAAAGCAATGAAGATTTTACAAAAATTATCTCTGATTCATAATACTGCAAGTAATACAAAAATAAGTGACAAAGTAAGCAAGCAGCAATTGTGATGTAGATTTGAATGCTAATCCAAACGCAGCCAACCATGGAGGATGTCTTTCACCAATTTAGTATATCTGTTATAGTTAGGATCAAAAAATATTCTGCACATATACCTATTATATTAGTGTGTTGACATGTAAATACTAACATTACTATAAATATTGTGATCTTTCGGTGAGAGTACATGCCACAGCCGCACAGTGTCGTCGCTGGAACAGGTGAGGAAGGTCCCAGGAGGTACGGTGCCCTCCACCGACCCTATCATGTCTACGCCCCAGATGCAAGCTGAATGGTACAGGGCCGAATGTGATTTGCCAACCTGCAAATAAAACCGCAATTTAGATTGATAGGCGATCATGATGCGTTCACTCTAAGATGAGTTTTGCGGTTGTTTTCGCCGCGTTGAGATATTCTAATGAGTGCATAGCGTGAATTTATTTCACATCTACTTGATTCACAGTCACAGGTTATAAATCTATACTAATATTATAAAGCTGAAGAGTTTGTTTATTTGTTTGTTTGTTTGAACGCGCTAATCTCAGGAACTACTGGTCCGATTTGAAAAATTCTTTCAGTGTTAGATAGCCCATTTATCGAGGAAGGCTATAGGCTATATATCATCACGCTAAGACCAATAGGAGCGGAGCACCAATGAAGAATGTTTCAAAAACGGAGAAAATTTATTACTATTGAGAGACGCAGACGAAGTTGCGCGGGTCCGCTAGTATATTATATTTCTATTTATAATTTAAAAAATACATGACCCAATTTTTTTTATTTTTCTGGTAACTGTCATGACTTCCACTCGTTATCGTGTTTTTTGGGATGCTCTGTAGATTAGTTTAGGATATTTTTTATGTTCTTACATATAATGTCTTGTCAGAATTTCAAAAAATTACTTTTATTCTGAAAAAAACAATTCCAGTTTGACATAACTGATGTTTGATTTTAAATCTAACCTCAGTTACTCAAGTAATATTAGCATACACATTAATATGAAAGTTACAATCTTGTTTTGTAACTTTCATATTATTTTATTTGGAACTAAAACGATTACATATGGAATATGACTAACCCTCTTGATGTCCCTCACATCCCACACGTACAGGCTGTGGTCGTTGTAGACACAGGTCAGCTTGTGGTTCCTCTCGTCGTAGGTGAGCGCCACGGCGTCCGGGTACCGCGCGTTTTGCGGTTGGCTGAACATATGGCTGCAACAACACAACATGTTCTATATAAATTAGTAACTGGGTCCTATAAAACGATCAAGGACCTATAGATAATCAAGGAATAGAATAGCTTTCCTTTTAATACGTTTGTAAAACAAATTACTCAGAAATAAAACTGATTAGAATAAGATAAAATGGAATAGAATAGATAAGGATGGAAAGAAATATAGTGGAATTGAATAGAAACAATTGTTTGTACACCTTAAGAAATAAAATGATTTGACTACATTTGAGGAATATGTTCTCCGGGTGTACTTTTCGTTTCAATCAATTTATTACTAATACTTTTGAATGGACGAAAAAAATACTAACTGTCCGTATGGTGACGCATTAAGAATACGGAATGTCACCATCCCTATTCATCCCGTGGGTGTCGTAAGAGCCGACTAAGGGAACAAACTACGCAGGACAACAGCACTGCAAAGAGAAGGAAAACTTGCAACAAAAACTATACCAACCCGTCTGGCCAGTGTGGTATAGTAGGCCAAAACCTCCTTTCTAAGGAGAGGCCTATGTCCAGCAGTGGACTATTATAGGCTGTTGATGATGATGACTTTTGAATGGACATAAGGAATAAAAGAAATCATGAGTAATAATATTTCGGACATCTAACGCACAACGCCGTCTAGTTTCAAACTAATCAGAGCTTGTATTATGAAAACTATATTGACTGATAGAATACTTATATAATTATTATTTTTTGTAAATATGCATACATATTATACATAGAAAACACCCAAACTCCGAAACAAATATTTGCAGATCATAAAAATATTTGATCTAACCCGGGAACCGGACCGGAGACCTCAGCACAGCAGTCGCATACGCTACCACTGCACCACCGAGTAGTTTTGGTACGAAAAATAAGTAATAGTATATCGAACCCACAACACTCAGCGTAGTAGTAAGCGGCGTGGCGACCGCTTAAACCACTGCACTATCCGTGCAGTCTAATGGACTCAATAGTCATTTTTATTCTTGTGATAAAAGCAGCAAAGGACTTCAATCCTTGCCAAACTCTTTGCATGAAATTTGATTATAGAAAGGCAGTCTCTGGTGCAATTTACATACCTAATGTTGGTACCTTGCGCCACGTCGACCCCTAAGTAGTGAGTGCGGGGCAGCGTAGTGATGTACCGAAGCGAATCGGGGGCAAAGCACCTCACTATGCCCTCAGCGCATCCCACGAATATATAGTTCGAACCTATCGCCATACAATTCGCTGACGTAGTCTGGAAAAAAAATAATTTAATGACTATATTGTAACATATTTATATATCGTATGTGTATTATACACCATATTATACTTTTTTTTTATGAATTTATCTCATACATAGTCTTCGTTTTCAACAGTAAGCAGTGAAAATTTATGAATCCTTTCTCCACAGTAAACAATAGCGGATAAAGAAAATTATAAAAGCCATCCACAAATGTATATAAGTCCGATTTGAATAACTATTTCTGTATTGTATAGCGAATTCATGAGAGCTGCAACTTTTAGGATAGGAGTAGTAACTATCAACTCTGATGAAACCAAGCAACGGCTGCAGTTAGTACAGAAATGAAAATAAAATTAGAAACTAACCCTTAACTCCACCCACTTATCCAACAGTCTTCTGCTGTTGAACTCACACAGCAGCCCTCCGCGAGTAATCGCGAACGTGCTCTCTGCCGAGGCTCCTCGACCGCAGACCACGTCGCAGAACTCATTGTCTTTCTGCTCTCCTAAGATTGCTGACCTCCCCATTAGGGGTACTGGCTCCTTAAACTGAAAGAAAAAAGATGTATCATATTTTTATTCTCCCACTGTGAACACTGTATAATAATTAATATGTGAAATAATTTCATAATCGGAGAAGGGGCCAGCCAGGAGATTGGTAAAGATTTCGAAGAAGTGGAAAGCAGAAAATGTCTGATCCTCTTCAATCACGATTGAGTTGGTGTGAAATAAACTCACACCAGGCCCTCTGAGCTTTGCTGATTTTGTTATTATATGTCTGGATAAATGTAATATCCATTCAAGAGGGGTTCTTCTGTCTCCTTGTGTTCTTTTATGTGCCTCTGGTAATGTATATGAAAAATGTCATTACGAAAGGCTTGAAAGAGTAACTAACAACTAATAAACAAAAAAATACTTATTCATAATTTTATAGTTATGATTCCAATGGAGAAACACAACGTTATTGGCTTTCAACTCAATTCAACGGTTCGTACTGTAATACTTTACACTATTAGGTACTAATCAGTGAACTTCTATTGCGCGATGCAGAACTACTTTTAAATTGATGTATATTGTTTTTCTTGAACGAATTGTGTCGACCAACTCGTTTTTCGTTTTCATTTTAAAAGAAGACATTAGGAATATATCCTATGTCGCAGGAGACTTTACAAACACCCAGACTCGAACAACAAATTGGGGATCACACAAGGTGTTGTCCCATGTGGGATGGAACCCACACCGCTGAAAGAAAAAACTGAACAGTATTTATTATGTAGTCTTAGTGCAGGTATTATATAAGTCACCTTGGCGTTCCTAGAATACTCCAGGTACCAAAACTTGACATGCCTGAAGCCGACAGTAACGAAGTAGTTCCCATTCTCCGCAAAGCTCACCGCCTTCACACGAGATGAAACCTGAAACATTAAATTTAAAACTATATAAGATATCTGTATAAGGATTTATGTATATAATATCCTAGAGATCGCTTTGAAAATGTTGTTTTACTATATTGACTAATATAGTTTGAACTGTTATTTTATTGACTTTTATACCATGACAAGTCTTAATATATACCGGTCCAGTATAGTGTTATACAGCTGTAATTACAAACTTTGTAACTTGGCCTAAAATTATAGCTTTCTGTTCTTCTTATACATATTTGTAGTTATGGCATGGCTTTCTCTTTTAAGGTACAGGGTGGCGCAATAGAACGTGCATATTGCATCATCTTTTTTCGCGGGGTAGAAAGTGCGCGGGCGGGGGGAGCCTGCATCGTTGGGTAGGCGGGCTCATGGAGTTTTAGTCACTATGAGTCACTTCGACGGGAAGCGTCGCGCATTTTGCGTGCGCGCATTTTACGAGAACTCTCGTTCATACATCGTTACTAGGCGTTTATATTGTTCTGAATATGGACTACGGCAAATTAGTAAAGCTCCGAGTGCTAATTTAATTAAAATATGGGTACAGTGTTTTGAAGAGACTGGTTCAACGTTTAAACCACAAGCAAAAGGTTGTCCAAGAACATCTAGGACCGACGACAATATTGAGAGAGTTATGCAGTCTGTACGAGGAGATCCACAAATGTCTACTCGTAAGAGATCGTCTGTCTTACACTTATCGCGACGAAGTTTGCAACGAATTTTAAACTTGGATCTTAAACTGCATCCTTACAAGCTGCAGTTAACACAAGAATTGAAAGAGTCTGACTTCGGAGCAAGGCTCGCATTTGCTAATGAAATGCTTAATCGATTTTCCAATTTTGACAATATCCTTTTCTCAGATGAGGCCCACTTCCATATCAATGGGTTCGTAAACCGTCAAAATTGTCGTTACTGGAACAGTGAGAATCCCAAACTCAAGCACCAGAAACCACTGCATAGTCCTAAAGTGACAGTATGGGCAGCAATCTCTGGTAGAGGAATAATTGGACCGTTTTTCTTTTAAAATGCGCGGGGCCAAACCTTACTGTTAATACCGAACGCTATGTTGCGATGTTGGAAGGTTTTTTGGCTCCAGAGCTTGAAAATTCAAGAATAGTGAATTATAGGACTTGGTTTCAACAAGACGGAGCTACCTGTCACACATCAAATGACTCCATGGCGGTTGTGAAACAGATGTTCCCTGGCAGACTGATTTCGAAAAGAGGTGATATCCCATGGCCCCCACGTAGTCCAGACGTGACGCCTCCTGACTTTTTTTTGTGGGGATACCTCAAGAACAAAGTCTACAGTAATAATCCGAAAAACAACGATCAGCTCAAGGAGAATATCCGTGGTGAAATGGCAGCAATTACACCAGCATTACTGAAGAAAGTTTTCAATAACTTCCGTTTGCGATTAGAGGAGTGTCGTCGTAGAGAGGGTCATCATTTAGACGATGTTATTTTTAAAAAATAAACTTCAGTTATTTCTTAATAATACCTCAGTTTTATTTTAACTATACCTTTTGTATTTATTTTCTAATCAATATTTTAAATATGCACGTTCTATTGCGCCACCCTGTATTATCGTTTAAAAAAGGGTTCCGACTTCAATAGGTTTTATGACACAAATATGAAAGGAACACTGTTTTTTGTTTTTAGACAAATTTCGCACTAGGAATATATATAGAACGACAATTTGTGGATCACACAGTGTCGTCAAATGTGGGAATCGAACCCATAGCACTCAGCGTAGTAGGAAGCGTCGCGACCGCTTAAACCACTACGCCATCCGTGCAGTCAAATAGGTATTAATGTGCCTATTTATCCAGGATCCTATCATCAAGTCCGGACCAGATACAAGTTGGATCATACGATGATGCATCAAAAGGTTATGAGCGTGACCTAACTTACTTTATCTGAATATTTCTATGGGATAAAATTTAGAAAGGTGATAATGTCTGATCTTCTCTTCTTACCTTATTACTGGCCAACTTGAGGTTCGCCCGCCAATCCCACACATTCACAATCATGTCATGTTGCGAACCAATTGACACCAGGTACTTTGATGATGTTGAGAATGCCTGGAAAACAGAAAAAATAATTTAATCTGATGATCTATTTATACAAATATTATAAAGTTGAAGAGTTCGTTAAAAAGTTACGTGGGAATGGTATAAAGAAAGTCGTTGTCACAGCTGCCTCTCCAATCCAATTAAGACCTGGTACGCCTTACCCTCGCCCTATGCGTTAATCTGTATTTCCTTACCCCTCATTTCCTTTCCTTCATACCAACCCGTCTGGCCAGCGTTGTATAGTAGGCCAAAACCTCCTTTCTAAGGAGAGGCTTATGTCCAGCAGGGAACTATTAAAGGCTGTTGATGATGAGCCTTTAACATTTACCTTTGTGTTTTATAAATATTATTCATATTACGGCATTTTGGGTGATTAGTCATAATTTTAAATTAATCATTTAACACACTCACCACACAACTAACTCCATGGGTGTGTCCAGGAAACTCAGCTATTTGCACTGCACCAGATGCTGTGGGATCCTGAAAAATTAAATATATATGTAATGTCGCATTAAAGTTATAATTTAAGTTACGGTGAATTGAATCTTGGTTGTAACATTCAATACTTAATGGCGCTACTGTAGTTTTAGTCATGCTGCTCACCACTAGATGGCGTTAAGTGTAGGTCAACTTTATTTCAACATAATATGTTTAAATGACCTGTGTTGTTTACGTGTATATTAATTATTTCTCACATTATACGTCTTATTTATTCAAATCAATTTGCTTTTGTGTTTGTCAGTTATTTTAATTAAGACTTCAAGCATTTATTTAATTTATTGTCTTACCGCAGCTACACACAAATCTGTGTCAATTATGTATTATTCCCATAATATATTTTTCTTGTCAGTCAAATTGTACTGTAGCGAGGAGTAGATAATAGCTGAGAATTAGTAAACATAATAAGCTAACGGGCCCACTACAGGTGGTAAGCTAATTTGTCTTTTTTTGTCGGGAACTCTCTCGGGCCTCCATCCCACCGGGATTTGCGGTGGAGCCGTGTGTCGCTATCGAACCGTCTAAAACGACACGGTGTGCCATCCTGCGCGGAGAGATCCGGGAACAGCTTTTGTTAGGCCAACTTGTCTATCTGGACTCCTACTTATATGCATACACTCACTCAGTCCATGGGCGACGGTAGTCACATACCATCAGGTGACCCGTATGCTAGTTTGACCCCTATACTATGAAAAAAATTGGGTGTTTTACCTGAAGATCCCACACTCTCACAGCCGGCGCATGTCCACACTCGCCAGTCGCCAGGTACCTCCCATCTGGGGAGAAAGCCACACACGTCACGCTCTTGCGACAAGCGTTCAGCACGTGTGTCTGTCTGTTCTTCCGAGCATTGTACAACACTACCGTACATCTGTAACGAGGAAATTATAATATTATTAGTGATGAAGCTTACTATTTTTCGCTTCTCTTAATTCTAAATCGAAGTTTACGAGGATGGTTAAATGGGTGAATGTTTGTTACTCTTTTCACGCAAAAACGCTTAAGCGGATTTAGGTGAAATTTGGCATATAGATGGCTTATGATCTGGGGTGATACATAGAGACAAGTTTCGCACTTAAGTGCATTGGATGCGTACATCTTCTCAGCGGTGCAAAAAGGAGAAATAGAAAGAGGCTATCCGTTAAAACCGCTAGTCAATAATAACAATAGTCCATTCGCATTAATAAAATAGTGACGCATCAATCAAGTTTCGCACCCTGACCAATCAGGTGCCAAGCTTTTATAGGAAACGATAATTAATTCTTGGAACCTGATTAGTTTTGAGGCCTATAACAACTGTTTCAATTTCTGGACCAGAGTCCTGTGAGTTTTAGTGTATAAACAACAGAACCACCAACTGCTATTAACGGCTATGAGAGTACTTTAGAATCTTCGTTAATACCATAACATGACGAGTGAAATGACAGATATTTTATTCAAGAATACCCTGCACATATGTATTTAGCCTAAATATATTTTTGCTTCCCCTCTTACCAAATAAATATTTGCCAGAGCCCAGGAATAGAAAGCAGAACCCCACAATCACTTTAAGCTACAGGATTAACGAACCATTTGTTAAATTAAATAGCCTTGTTTAAATAAACAAGAAAATATTTCTCCAATTGACTCAAAAGTCCAATTTAAGTTTGGCTATAAAAGATATTTACGGTTCAAAGGAGATTTATTACGACCGGATGATTAGGTCTGTTATAAAACCTATGTAAGCCGAAAGTAATTTCTATTTACTTCACGTAAGGATAATTCTCCTATCCTGTCCTTTGCGTGAATATAAATTGTTATTTTCGGTTGCGTTATGCTTAAATAAGACTGGACGTATTTGAATAAATTTGTATAAAACGTCATTATTTATACGAACTTGATTTTTGGACCTAGCAATATGCATGTGAAGAAGAATACGGAGTGTCACCAGGAGTATTCATCCCGTGGGTGTCGTAAGAGCCGACTTAGGGAGCAAACTACGCAGGACAACAGCACTGTCAAGAGAAGGAAAACTTGACACAAACCCTATACCAACCTGTCTGGCCAGCGTGGTATAGTAGGCCAAAACCTCCTTCCTAAGGAGAGGCCTATGTCCAGCAGTGGACCTTTATTTTAATAAAGGTCCACGGCTGGATATAAGCCTTAAGCTGCCTTTTTATTAATAAATATCAAGATGTGACAGCGTATTGTGTAGTGTGCGTCGACCTTTACTCCGTGGAATACCAAGTCTAATGGCATTTATAGATGCTATTAGACTTTTAACGGGCCTGTTGGTCTAGTGACCCTGACTGCTTAGCCAGAAGTCGTGGATTCGGTTCCCACCCAGGACAATTAATAGTGTGACAAGCACGATCATATGTAATGTATCTGAGTGTAATTTATCTGTAATAAGTATTTATTTAGAAATATTTAAGTATGTTTATCAGCAGTCTGGTTACCATAGTTACAGGTTTTGCTTAGTTTGAGATCAGACTGTCGCGTGTGAGATGTGTGAAGTTATTATTATTATTCCAATTTGCTGTACAACGGTACGGAACGCTTTGTGTACCTTTCGAATCCCGACTTTAGCTTTACAATGTTGTTTAAATAATTTGAAAAAGAACGAGCTCAAAAGTCGTGTGAGCGTACCACAAGGATTAACTAGAAATATACCATACGTTGGCGTACGATGATCTAGCGGTTGGAGACGCGAGAAGAATTATATTAGGGTGACTACTGAAGGTTCGGTCACAATGATAGAGAGATTAAATAAAAAGCGAACGATTACATGTACAGAGAACTAACTGTGATATTGCGTATATTGATTGCTTGAAACCACCGCAAGAATTAATGTGCTAATTAACTTAAAACAACTTCTGCCAGTGACTTACGATACTTTAAAGTAATTAAGACGCAAATAATTTCAAATAAAGAGTCTAAAATACGCATGATAGCTCGGGTTCATTTATTGTCGGCATTTTATTGGCTAATTTTTCATATAAGAAGTACATTTTACATAAATTAAACTGAGGAATTCTTGAAGAGGCCTTCAGGAATGATCTATTCACATCAGACAAAAATATTTAGTAGATTGATGGTTTTCTTTTAAGTTTTAATTTATATTTCAAATCGCTATCATTCTGACCAACCTTTCTTTTTTTTACGGCTTGCATTGATATTTTAAATCGCTGTCGGTGAGACAAAGCCGCATAATAAATGCCTAATTATAATGCGCGTGACTGAGCCCTTGTCATATTGTTAACATAATCAGACAATGCGGAGGCGTAGGAGAAAGCGAGAATATTGATTAGCTACGTAAAATAAAATGTTAAGACGCTATTGAGTAAGCCGCAAGCGGTTCTTTTTATTTTGCGACTACATAAAATTAAATATTTTTTCAATTAAATTATAAATATCTCTTTATTTCAGCACATAATAAGATTTATTGAGTCCATTTCTTGATAAGGTTCCTTCTGATGTCCACAATATTTTTGTTTAGCACCCGAGAACTGGAGATCTGGTTTAAGTTGCAGGCAATTGTTCAATGTAGATGGTGTAAGATAGTTCCGTCCATACATATATACCCTCCCGCCTTTTGCTCCGAATCCCTAAATCGCCTGGTTGACGACAATATAAGGTTGCTGACGAGGGACTCAAAGTGTAGTCGTCAAAATGTGGGTTGGTGGGAGTGTGGGTGGGTCAAAATGGTTTCATTTGTCTCTGTTTACTCCTTTGGGGATATAGACGTGAGTAAGTGGAATAAAGATAATAATTATTAAATCGCTCTCAGTGCCACCTCGGTCTAACACATGACAAATACTTCTGTGTACTGCTACTTCATGCTGCGTGGGGTACGCTTGTGATTCAGCATGACACGCACAAGCGGAAGGGCGGACAGTCACTGAGTCATAAGTAACTGCGATTTATTTGCGTATACAACTTCGAAGTCCAGTACAGGGGAATAGTTTTGGTATTATATAAAATTCATACATAAAAATAGGTAAAATAAACTTGTTATAATCTTAGGTTCGAACTCCAAAATAGTACAACTGCGACTTCACTGATGGCGTAGTGGTTTAAGCGGTCGCCACGCCGCTTCCTACTACGCCGAGTGTTGTGGGTTCAAACCCCAGATAGGACGATACTTTGTGTGATCCACAAATTGTTGTTCTGAGTCGTGGTGTTCTTTGTGTCCCTTTCATGTATGTTTGTAAAGTTCCTTCATTAGGAATATATCCTGTGTCGCGGACACAGGATATATTCCTAATGCGGGAGTTGTCTTTTTAAATCACAATCAGCACACATTAGAACTGATCTGTGATAACTTGTTTCTATGTTTGTATTTAGAAATATATGTATGGTATGATTTGCAACATTATAACAGCATATTAGCAGTATGGTTACCCCAGTACGGGCTCCGCATGGTTTGATATCAGATGGTTGTGTGTAAAGTCATAAAGAAACTAATAGTTACGGATGCTTACAAGAACTGTATATGGCCACAGTAACGTATTGCATCTACAGTAGCAGCACTTTAAGAAACACCCAGCTTTTTACTACTTAGAGATATAAAAATAACTAATAATATTTACCTCACCTCACTGATTGTCATGTCTATTATAGTTTCGTGTATTTCAAAGGTGTGGCGTCAATCCCCCCTGTGTTAAGCTAATTCAGGGTGAAACCATTTCCTTTATTCAACGAAGGGGCTGTCTATTCAACATTTTGGGACTACCCCGAAATTGAGTAATTCAAAAATCAACATGCGGTCCATCAAATTAACCGTGTCTGCTCTTTACATAAATACTGTTGTTGTAGTATTAGGCTCTTGTAGTTTGAATAATAATAAATTACCCTTACAACTTGCCAATCACAAGCGGCCATATTTATTTATGTAGGTACTGGCTTTTGCCTGTGACTTTGCCAGTGTATGTCGGTTATCGCGGTAAAGAGTAGCCTATGTCCTTCCTCAAGAATCAAAGTATCTCCATGCCGAGTTCTATTAAAATCGGTTCAGCGCTTTACCCGTAAAAGCGTAACAGATAGACAGACAGAGCTGTTTATGCATTTATAATATTAGTAGAGATTTCATGGGTAGAAGGCTCGGACTGTCCGGTAACCGTCAATTCGAATGCCCTGGTCGAGTTATGGCTTCCAATTCTTCATTTATCACCATTAGCAACATCCCTTTCCTCCCTTCTTACTTAACTTTCCTTTAAGTATACTCTTTATTTTCCTATATATATATATAGATAGAGTTGCCCCAATTACGTAAGTAAGAGATAAAACTCTAGTTGGCAAAATGTAGGCGTTATTTCCACCTCTGCTTACTCCTTCGCAGATATAGGTGTGAGTATACCTATATAATATAATTATCTATGTGTGTACGCATGCAAATCGCTCCTCCTATGGTCTAACTCACAACCTTAATAGTACGTAGTCATTTAGTATGTAGTACGGGCAAGTGGTGCTATGCGCGTACGCAGCCTTTCTCACGGCCGACGACGCGTTGTTATTATACAGTCGGATTTGTTAGTCAAATTCATGGTTAAGTACGTTGACACTATAAGGTATTATTATTGGCCTAATTTCCGATTGCCAAATAAACTGTATTTTTTAGCTTTTGCCAACGACTACGTCCGCGTGGTGGTCGACATCGAACATCGTAGAGGATCGCTACTACCAAAAATAGCGAACTTTCATATTAATTTCCAACACCCATTTTGTAGGGGTGGAATTTTTATTCACTTAAGGAACATTTGTGCAAAATTTCATGCTTCCAGATCCAGCAGTTGCACATCTACGTTGATCGATGAGTCAGTGAATTAGTCTGTCAGTTTCTTCTTCTATAGACATAAGATACATGGGCCCAAAGGAATCACATAACTTTGT